TATATATATATTTATATCTTATACATATACATATATACATATATATAAAATATATATATATATATATATTCATATAAACAATCGTTTTATAGAAACATTGATAGAACGCATAAATTTTAAACTTTATTTTAACATAAATTCGACTCAGCATTAACCATTTTTAATCATAACCACAATTTCCTTTATTTGTATTGCATTTATAATTATTATTTATATTATTGCATATTATGCTAATTCTGTATAAAAGCCCTTAAAGCCTTTGTTCCGATAAATTTTTTTTTTTTTGTGGCTTAATTTGATTGGTTAAAGTAAGCCACAAAACCCGACTGACCAAATTTTGAACCCAAGAAACCATAATTAGAAAGATTTTTTTTAAAAAAACCCGATCCCTTGCTTGTTTATGTTTGTTTGTGGAAATTGGTATACGTAATGGGACTATAACCATCGCCGTATTTTTGGGGAGGTTACTCCAAACAACCCCTTTTATGTTCATATTTTTTTAGAGTTTCATTAACAATTTATGGGCTATGATTTTTGTGTAACTTTTTGCCATCAAAAAAAGGGAAATTTTTTTTCTTGGTGAACTTTCTTTCCCGTACCAAATAAGGGGTTGATAACAGTGGGAATATTTAAAATTTTTTTTTTTAGTTTCTTTTATATTCCCAATTTAGTTAAGTTATTTATTTATGCAAAATATTTATGATGTGATTATTTCAAAATCAAATGTGATTCATTCCATTCCTTATTATTTTATTGATCCTTACTTTAAAAAAAAAAAAATTTTTTTTTTTTAGCACCAAAAAAATTTTGTATATTTTTTTTCCTTTTTTTCGTATGTACCCTTTTTGCTTCGTTTCAATTTTATTGTTTTGAATATTACATTTTAATTATTTTTCGGATTAGCTCCCTATTCCCCGGTTTGTCCATATTTAAATTATTACTATTTTACCTTTAATTCAGCCTTAATATACACTAAACATAATATAAAAAAATTAACCTAATCCGAAAAAAAAATTTCTGTATATATAGGAGTCTTATTTTAACTCCCGTTACCACTATTTGATACAAAACCAAAAAAAAAAAAAAATAATCAAAGAAGATTTAATTACTCCATTATTTCAATTTCTCCGCGACCAAGGTTCGATTTTTTTCTTCTTCTTTATGCTATTCCATTATCAAAGTGTGAAGTTTTTTTTTTCAATAAATATGATAAAATATAAATACTCCACTCAATAAATATTATTAATTCCTATTCTATGTGTTTTATATATATAGTTATTTCCTTGATAACTTATTCCCATTTTTGTTCTTTCTTTCCTCTTTATACTTAAAAAGAAAATAGCTTTTTTTTAATAAAATGGACGATATTGTATCTTATCAATTTGCACAAGTACGACAACGTAGAGATGAACGTCAAGAGATGTAAGCATTACTTTATATTGTTACTTGTGGTGTCAATTACCACAAACATTCAAATGATAAAAGAACGTAAATTTTATTAGAGTCACAAATAATTCAATTCCTTTCTTTTTGATACATTTATTTTCGAATTCAAAAAAAAAAAACCTATCTTTTCTAAAATCATATTTTGTTGATGTTTTTAGACAATATGAACTTATTCTAAGGCAACAACCAAAACAATCAAGGATGTGTGGTATAGGTGAAAAAGGTAAGCTATCATGGTATATCATGGTATATATCATTACCAAATTTGGATCTTTAAAACTTCGTGGTGATAGTAAAAAAATTTTAAGTTATGCAGTAACGCATGTAGTTGTCACTAAGTGGGACGATCTCCATAAGAATTATTTGATCTACTTATAACTTTTATGGGAATTTGTCATTAATTGTTGAAAATAATCACAAAAAAAAGCATGCTTTTATTTTCAATTCCGATTATATACAATAATGTTTCAATATAATAGTGTATACGTGTTTCAAATCATGTCTTCATTTGATTTCCTATAGTTGGGATTGATGAACTTTATTATATGGAGAAAATATACCATACCCCGTTTGTTCTACGATATTTGTAGTTATTAATTATAATTTATTTCATTTAAAATAACAGCCGATAGACGTCCCATCGATCCACCACCAATAATACAACTTAAAGTCTATGATGCAAGTTTACCACAATCAGAGAAAAGGTATCGTATCACATGACTTATTATCTCGTGATATTTTCTACTGCGTAAAAAAAAAAAAGTTTAAAATATTTTACTTTAGTTCTTTTCTCCAAAATCCATATTTCTTCATGTACGCGTCCCTGGTGGCACCTGATACAGATGAAGAATTACATTTATTGAGAGATGGAAAGACACGTTCTACAACAGGATCTGTCGTTTCATCGTTATATCATCTCAAAGATATTGACAATTCAGATGCGGGATTTTTCGTATTTCCGGATCTCTCTGTACGTATGGAGGGAACTTATCGTCTTAAACTTAGTCTTTTTGAAATAATCGGGTATGTTTAAATTTTTAAAGATTATTCTATTCTATCAATTTAATAACTTAATTATCTCTTATATAGAAGAGAAGTTTATCACTGCAAGTCAATCTTTTCTGATATTTTTATAGTGTATTCGGCGAAAAGGTTTCCCGGCATGGAAGGTTTGTCTCAAAATATTTGACATTTTTTTTTTAAACACATTAAATTTAAACTTTTTTTTTTTTTTGTTTATGCAGAATCTACATTTCTATCAAGATCTTTTGCTGATCAAGGTTTAAAAATCCGAATAAGGAAAGAAATCAGAATACGAAGGTTATTTGTGGGTTTATATGTGGCGATTCGTATCAACATTCAACCAGAGAATATATATATATATATATGTATATGTATATGTATAAAATAAAAATTAAAAAATAAGAAATAGAGATTTTTTTTTTTTTTTTNATTTTTTTTTTTTTTTTTAACATTAATTATTATTTATATTATTAAATTACATTTTTTTTTATATTGCTGTTTATATTAACATTTTACTATTTTATTATTTTTTTTTTTTATATTATTCTTTTCTTCTTTTTTAAAAAAATTGTTGTACAACCTATGTAGACGGTTGGCAAAACGCGATAGAAAAGAATTAGAATTGATCGATCAATCAATGGGTAATAGATTGAAACGTCCACGTGGTGATGGTAAACGGGAGGATAATGAGAGTGGCGAATCATCCGATGTAGATATGCATGAACGTACACCAACTGCTGATGATTCACGTTCAAAATTAAGTTCTGAACCAGCTCCATCAAGCTCTTATGATAAACGAAAGGAACATAACAGTAGAAGCCCTTCGTCACCACGTCGAGTTCCATACGATCATATTCCACCACATATGGCACATTATGATCCTAACGCAACAATCTATGGTCCGGCAGGATATCCTCCACCTCGACCTCATCCATGGCATGATCGTCCAGAATATTTGGCGGATCCTCATTATCCACCACCATATTATGATCCATATGATAGAAGATATGGTTATCATCCATATTATTATCCACATCCTCCTCCTCCATTACCTGATAGCGCTGATCATCATCGTTATCCATATCCTCCTCCAGCTTATGGTAGACCACCAATGTACCCAGGACAACCCACACCAGGATATTATGATACACCTCCAAGAGTTCCACATCCTGCAAGTGAATCTCCCGGAGCTGTTAGACCACCACCACCATATGGATATGATCCATCAAGTCCTTATCCACAACGAGGTGGACCTTGGTCGCATTATGGTGAACGTTCACAATCAAGGGACCCTGGTTTAGAATCATCATCATCTCCTTATCGTGGAAGTGGTCCTGTAACCCCACCTCCTCCACCTCGTGGTCATGGTCATCCAATGTATTATCCTCCTCCACATGATTATTATGCTCCTCCATATGGACATCCAATGGGACCTCCACCGCCAAAACAAGATTATTCTACACCAGTTGATCCTTCATTAACCGGTGATCCTAGTAACCCACAAAATAAAATACCAATTCAGGATTTACTATCAACTGAACAACAACAGCAACAGTCTCAATCATCTCAACCGAATCAATCGAATACTGAACAAAGTGCTGTTACTCCACCAAGAATGTATGGTGGACCACCTTCTGCATTTGCACATATTTATCACCGTCCACATGAATACATGAGACATGATATGTATAGACCTCCATATGAAATGGGATATCCGCCACCACATGAAATGCCTCCATATGGTTCTGGTAGTAGTCCTATCAATAAGTCGCAATTATCCTCACAACCACCACCACAGGATGGGCGTATCCCGGCATCTTCATCATCATCATCAACAACAGAATCAGTAAGACAAGAAAGCCGTAATGTCGAATACAATGCATATGATCCCGCGCGTCGTTCGGCTTATACCGAACCTCCTGGTAATTCAAGCGTTTCTTCAAATCCCGGTTCAGCATCAACATCACAAGCATCGTCATATTCAGGTATGCCAGTTATCACAACGGCATCTCGAACTCTGCCTCCTCCTTTATTACATATGGCGAGTTCTAGTGGTGGTAACTCAATTCCTCCATATCATCCAGCCACGTCCACTTCTTCATTACATAATACTTCGACTTCAAGTTCACAGCAGTTAAAATCACCACCACGAACACAAACATCTCAGTCATCTTTTGATCATTCACAATCATATTCACAAAACCGAGGATCTTATGGTTCAGATCACGGTAACGGAGGTAACAGTAGCAAGAATAATGGCGTAAGTTCAAACTTGAGTAGTGGTAATAATGAAAAGATAACATCGCCACGATATCCTCCAAGGCGACAAGGTGATGTGGAAGGTGAGAGGAAAAATGAAAGTGTTGGTGGTGGTGATAAATATTGATCCCGGTATTAAGTACACGCGAAAAGAAGATGAGCGGTATTTCATAAAGTATGCTCTTAATTACCGGGAGTGAATGTGTTTTTTTTTATTTTTACCTTTTATTTTTTTTTTTTTTTTTTTTTTTTTTTTTTTTTTTTTTTTTTTTTTTTTTTTTTTTTTTTTTTTTTTTTTTTTTTTTTTTTNTTTTTTTTTTTTTTTTTTTTTTTTTTTTTTTTTTTTTTTTTTTTTTTTTTTTGAGAATATTTAATTCTCTCTTCCTGTATTGTAAACAAAGACATTTAAAGATGTTGGCTTATTTGTAGATTTCGGATATCATAAAAAACATAATGGACTTCAACCGCAAAGCAACTTTTACGCAACAGTTTTCTCTCAATGAAATTCAGGTTTTACCTTGAACTCTTGAACCTTTGATCGTGGATTAAAAACGTTTGAAAGATTATTCTTTCGTACAGTCAGTCATTTATTATTTAGACAATTTAAAACTCAAAACCTCAAAACCGCATACAAATTTAACAAAAATACATATATAGTTTTTTTTTGACATCCTGTACATTCTTTATTCTTTCTTTGCATGGTCTATATATACAAAAATTATACATTATACTTGGGTAGTGATTTTTCGGCAAAAATACTATTTTCCTAATTAAATAATGTGAAAAATTCACTTGGGGAAATGGGAAAATAAAAAAAATCTTTTTAAATTACATACTTTTTAATAATAGGGGGGTTTTTTTTATTTATTTTGTTTTTTTTATTCCTTTCCTTTTTTTCTTGTAACTTCTTTGTGTATAAATTCTTTTTTTTAAAAAAAATAATTTTTTCCTTTTTCATTTTTCATTTCAGTTGTAAAATTAAAGTTAAAGGATAAAAATTATATAAATATATATATATAAAGTAAATAAAAAAAAAAAATACTCTTAAATTTACAATTTAGTCCCTGTGCATAAATTAAACTATAAGTTATCTTTTTGGTTTTTTTTTTTATTTAAAAACAGGTTTTTCTTTAAGATGAATTGGAGGTTTTCCTTGAGGAGTTCCAGGAATAATTTTTTCCAAATTCTGCAATATAAAATTATTTTTTTATTTATTTATTTTTTTTTTTAAAAAAAAAATAAAAATTATAAAACTTATTAGAAAAAGTAAATAAAGATGATTTACCAACGCGTTAAAAACACAAGTATTAAATGTTCTTTCTTGTGGTCTACATTGATGATATTCTTGATTACTTCTATCTAAACATTGCCAATGAGCATCAAATTCTTTACCACAGTTTTCACGTAATTTACGAAGCCTAAAATAAATGAAAATAGAAATAGAAATAATAATAATTGTAAAATTATGTATAGTATCCTATCGACATTATGTCAAAGGTAAATTCTCGCCTTTGTTTTTTTTTTAAATTATCTACTTACAATTCAATAGTACATCTTGTAACTTTTCTACCTTCCTTTAAACAATGTTTTGGATCATTATTTTCATTTTTACAAAGCATAAAATCATCATTAAAATCCTTACAATAAGCACCAATAAAAAAAGAAGCGGATTTTAAAGGGGCCGAAGTTGCCCCAACTTCCTCTACTTTTGGTATATCATCTGGTAAAGGTGTTTCATCTTTAAAGGGTACATTTGAAAGAAAAGGGTGTCGATCTGTTGCATTTGTAGTCATTATATTAATTAATTAAAAAAAAAAAAAAAAAGCGCAAAGAGAAAAGATTCGAAAAAATTTTTATACCAAATTTATTAGCTTTTGTGTAACTGATCTTCAAAAATTCTAGATAATCATTACAAAGTTTGAAATTTATACTCTTTATTTTCAAATAATTTTATAATGCTATTATAAGATTTCTTATCAAATGAATCCCATCTTTTTAAATTATTATGTGAAATAACTTCTAATTCAATACTAACAATAATATCAGAAGTTTCTTTATCAAATGAAATTTTATTTTCAATCATTTCATTTAATAAATTTTCGATACCTTTTAAATCTTTCCAAAATTCCCATCTAATTAATAAAATTTGATTATATACTTTAGTAGTACAACCTAATTGATAAGATAATGAACCTCTTCTTTTCACTTGTTCAAATATTGATAAAGCTAAATAAGGATCTTTAAATTTTTTACATGCTAAAATTGATTGTTTTAATAAATTTGCATACTTGAAAGGAAATAATCTATTAAAATCATCTACTACAAGTTTTGAATTAGTAGAATTAAAAGTATCAGAAGAAGAAGAAGATTTTTTATTATTATCATCATTTTCAATTCCAAAAATATGTTTTGTAACAAAATCTTGTAATTGTTTCTTTGTTTCACATTTTAATAATAATTCATCATTTATTTTAATTGATGATGAGTCTGTTTCGTTAAATAAATTTGTTAATGATGATGATGATGTTGTAATATTCGAATCATTTGGTATTGAATCAAAATGTTCTTTAATCCATTTATTTTCTTTTTCTTTTACTTTTTCTTTTTCTTTTTCTTTTTCTTGTTCTTGTTTTAATTTTCGTTCTCCATTTCGATTCATTAAATCAATTAAATGTTTTTCAATAGTTAATAATTTTTGTCGAGATTTTGATTTTTCTTTTTCTTTTAATTTCGAATTTTTCATCTGTTCATTAGTTTTATTATCAAGAAGTGAACGAAAAATTTTACGAAAAGCATCACCATCTTTTTCATAAGAAATAAATTGGTTTTGATCATTTCGATTGAAATTTGATTGTTGTTTTATAGATGAAATTGATGTAGGTAGTTCTCGTTTTTTATTAACTTTATAATTATCATAATTATTATTATTATTATTATCATTATTATTATTATTATTATTATTATCATCATCATCATTTTTATTATGATCCTCTTTTTCTTCAACTACGACTTCAAATAAGAATTTCCATTCATCGGATGTTTCATTATCTGGTTCAGAATGATTCTGTTGATTCATTAAATTATCATCATCAATTGTTAATGTATTCTCAGTTTCTAATTGACGATATTCTTCTATCTCTATATTATCAGGTAAAACTCGAGCTGAAGTACTAGCAGTAATATATCCTCTTTTTTTGTTCAATATTGTTGTACGAAATATAACTTTTAATATATTTCCTATAATATTTTATATTAAAAAAAAAAAAAAAGAAAAAGAAAACACTAAACTTTAATATAAATGTATAATAATTATATAAGGTTTAAAAAAAAAATTAATTATACCTGAATGATGCTTTCTAATTATTTGTTGAAACATAATTTATATAAGAATATAAAAGAAATCGAGAAAAAAAGTTTGAGTGATTTGTGATAATCAATCGATATCATACATGTATTATGTATACTTAATTTATCACGTTATCTTTTTATCATTATTGTGTATCCAATTAGGCAAGACCTTTTAATTACTGAATCTTAGAGTATTTAAAATTTTTAAGTAAAAAAAAAATGATGATTTGATTATTATAATTTATTTTAAATTTCATCCCAAAACATTACAGGATATACAACGGGATATTTGAATAATAATGATAAATAATAATTGTTTACTTTATACTAATTGACATATTTTGTTATTATGTAGAAAAAAACCACCACTTCTAGATAACTAATATAAATACAATTAAAAATATTCCCCCTATAATATAGTTCCCATTAAATTATATATAAGAATTTTTTTTTTTTTTTTTAAAAAAAAAAAAAAAAAAAAAAATAATAAATCTTAAGTTCTTAATATACATGAAAAGATAAAAGTATATAATAATAAAGACCAAATACGCTCTATTAACTAAATAAAAAAAATTTTTTTTTTTTAATACAAATGCTTATATAAGTGATAGTTCATAAAAAAATATATATAAAAATTAATTTAAATAAATTATAAAGAAAAAGATTTACAATCCAAAAAAAAGAATTATTTATAATATGGTTTATCATGATCCAGTCATGAGATAACATTTTTAACTGTTATTGATAAAGATCGACCTAAGTTGGATGAATGTTTCTTTACTACAACAGCACCGCCAACTAAACCACCTGTACTTGTTGTAGTTACAGAAGACGAGGCTCCAACATTGGGTGGAGTTCCTCTTGCAAGGACTTTCGGTGTAAGATATCTTATAGCTGCATTATTTCCGCTAGCTTGAACTACATCAAACACAGTTTTCCCCGATTTTTTCATATCACTAACAACTTCAGCTGCCCAAGCCCCAACACTTTTTGGTGAATTTCGAATTGTAGGCGTTGTTGTTGTTACACCAAGCATATCTTCTAAATTATCAAATAAAACATTTTCTACATATGCTCCATTTTGTAATAATAATTCTGCCATTGGAAATAATAACTTTCCTTCATCGTTGGTCACCTTTGCAGGATCAATGTGGAGTAATGCTAATAATAATGGGGTTTTCAATCCATGATCATCAGCTACTTCAAATCTGCGAGCTGCATTCACATCTGCCTTCAACGCGATAGCTTGCATCGCCAAAGGCAAATCATTAGATTTCACTGCATCAAAAAGAATATCTGTAGCACTTTTATCGTCATCAACAAGTGAAAAGTCAACAAAGGCCCTATCAACGTATTTGGCAGTAATAAATTTTTGTTTGGTATCACGAGGGTCGGAACTATTTGGCTTTGTCATCCCTTTATACTTTTTAACTGGTGGCGCGGGCATAGATGTCAACGAAGGAGTAGGTGATGGTGATGGTGATGGTGACAATGACGAACCGCGATTTGACGGTGAAATCATGTTAATAAGATCTTCCCAATCAGAATCTGTTACAGGTGTGGTTGCATCATCATTTTTTGGTGGTACGGGGGGAGGTTCTTCAATTTTTGGAGGCGGAATTGCCAGTGTACCATTTTGTTGACCCGTTTGCCGCTGCTCAAGTGTTGCTTCCCAAATTGCATTAGATCGAGCATTACCAATAGATTTAATTAAATTAATAAGATCAGGCGTATATGAATTCGTATCTAAGGTAAGTGACCTTATTTTAGATATATGTGTTCCCAAGCTACGATGAATTCCTGAGCACTCTATAAATATATAGAAAATATTTCGTGTTAGAGTATAATAACGAATAGTGCTATTAATTAAAAAAAATTATATCTACCTATACATAATATAATTCCTAAATTAATAGAACACCATTCTGTCTTGCGAGCTCCACAGTCTGCACAACTTAAATTAGATACATCTGCACCTTTAACACTTTCAAGAATTTTAACGGGTTTTTCATTTTCATTAACCTCTAATTTATTGTTTTTAGATGCTTCTTCAGATACAGATGATATTTGACCCTTTTTCATATCAACTTTTCTTCTATCTGACAAACTAGGTAATGTTCCTCTTCTCTGTATCGGTTTCTTTGTAAATAACTTGCCAGCTCCGGTTCCATTTGAATCTTGTGTCATGACTTGATCCAAATTACGACAACTACTTGTTCCATTAAGAAGACTTTCAATTGCATTAGAGATAACCGTCATCCAAGAAGACATATCTTCAGCTGAAGTTGCCTGATATATACGTCTATATTGGGGTGTAACTACCTCAAAACAAAACCGCCTTTCGGTTCCTCTAGCTTCTCTCACCGTAGCGAAACGTAAATTTATTGGTTCATTATGCGTTGCAAATTGTTTTTTCCAATTACTATATTCACAAAGTTGTCCACCTGCCAAAACACACCAGTATCTATATTTATTTAAATGAAAATTTTATTAAAAAAAAAAATTCCATAAAAAAAAAAAAAGAACTTGCTTACTTATGCCAACTTGTCTTCGAGATTGGGTCAACGGTCCCGTGATGTGTTACTCGTGATGTAGCAAACAAAAATCCCTCCTTCTTTCTACCTGCATTTGATGCAGATTCTGAATCATGCTGCTCTAAGTCACGAATTCCTTTGAACTTATTTTGCGGTATATTTGGAGAACCAACTGGACTAGCAGCTGTATTCTCTGCATTATCGCTCGTATTATCACTCGTATTGCTACTATTACCAATATTTGAATCTATGTCACCAAAATTTTCACTTGTAAATGGATTTACCGTTGTAGTGCGAGTTTCGAGTGTCCTACGCCTTTCTTCTCTTTCTTTTCTCATTAAATGAATCTCTTTTGTCGCTTCGTCAACATCTACAGCTAATTTATCCAATCCTGGTTTTAAGCTTTGAATATTAAGAGCGGTTTGTTGATAGAATGCAAACTGTTTTTCAGCAAAGTTCGTTAAATGATAAAGAATTTCTTGATCTTTTCGTCCTCCATGTAAGTCCTGCATAAATGCATAATAATCAAACCTTTTCAATTCAAAAGTTTTACGCTTGCTTTGATATTTAGTATCTGATTCTAATTTCTTTTTTTCTTTTGCAGAGTCAACTTTTAAAGACAAATACTTGGAAAGAAACTGATAATAATCACGGGATTCATCCTCAAATTCTTTCTTTTTACTATCTGCAACTTTGATGTCATTCTCGTATAGCTTACGAAGGGGCTCAATTAAAAGTACAGACATTTGATTCGCAAGGTTTAATTTGGAAGTTGCAATCTTTTTTGATGCTTCTTCAAGATAACTATCTAACACAGGTTGAAATGCTTGGGGATGAGCGGCAGCCGCAGCCTTTAAGGTAGATAAAAAAATATCTTCAGTTTTATGACATTCCAAAAGCATTTCTTGAGAACCAGATGCTGCTTTTAAAACACGCTTAATATGGTGTTTTAATGAACCTGTTTTCTTTTCATATGCAGTCAAAGTTGCACGAAACAATGGTCCATCTTCAGGTTCATGTTGATACATTAAGTCATCTGAAGAACGACGACCTCCACTAGAAACGGATGATGCCGTTCCTGACGTGTATGAAGACATACCCGGTACTGGAAGATATACATTATCAGGGCTTGAAGGTCGGACGCTACGAAAAGACCATGGTGTAGATTGAGACGATGGCAATAGGGATGACGTTCCTGAAAAAAATGGTATACCGTCAACTGATTCTGAACTCTTTGAAGCTCGATGATTAAGCATTCTCGGTATATCTATAAAAAAATTTCGTTTAAAAGTATTAAATAAAAGAGTATATTTTTCCTTGAAACTGATCTAAATGATCTACACACCTGCGACCCAAAATGTAAAAGATGCCAATAAAGTAAAATTATTGTCATTTGCATCATATTCGGCAAACTAAATGGAATTATTTTTAGCATAATCTATTTATTTATTCGTCAAAACAATTAATAAACTTAAACTTACGCAACAATGGTTTCTCCAACCACGATGAATCTCATCCGTATTATGTGGTGGTAACCACTCCCATGTCCACTCTTTCTCTAACTTTACCATTCCGTCTGATTCATAATTTCCTATGAGTGTGACATTGGGATGTTTGTGAAGCTTTAAGAGAAATATGAAATAAGTAAGTATATTAGCCGGTCATTAAAACATTTAAATAATTAATCAATCTATTAAAATATCTCTGATTGATTCTGCTTACATTAGGATCATCGTTGAACTCGACTGTTAATATCCTTGCTAATTCTTTTTCGCTGGCAACATTAATAAATGTGAGGCCTCTAACATCAGCTTTATTTCCATCGGTCTCTCCAATATTAAATTTAAATTTTAACTTTAGCTTTTTATCTTTTGTCAGTTTAAGTAAAAATTTATTTGTATTTATTGTTTGAACGTTAGGGTCTTGAATGAATTCTAAGAGATCTAAGGTGTTTGGGACGGCGGTAATACCATTTTGTGTGATAGGAAATGTTATGTATGGGTCATGGGCGGAATTTGATACTACGATTTCTGTAACGTGAACTTTAGAAGTCATTGACGCAAGATAAGCAAAAACGTCAATTGTCTTATTTTAAATAGAAGCCAGTCATGTATCCATTTTACTTTAGTAATAAAGCAATAAGCGACTAAACCACTCACATCGGTTTGAATTCCTCACGTATAAGGTTGGATGTTCGTCCAGGGAAGAACTTACATTACCCATGATGGAAGGTGAAATGTGAGTGATACTTTGGTGTTCTTTGGCCCTCCGATTGCCACAAAAATAACGTATACGTTGATAATCGAAGGAACTAGGGAAAGAGTTGGCAAATAAGCCGTGGCAAGGGCATATATTTAATAAATAGGTTTTTAATGATAACTTCAAATCTTTAAGTTAAAAGGAACGTTTAATGCTTTTAGATTCAATGTTTACTAGTTTAAATTTTGATTTGCATTACAGAATAAACTTGTCCAAATTAAGTTGGCAATAGCCAATCATTCACGAAGTTGCGTCAGCGGCAACACATCATTGTGAAACCGGTTTTTTTTGATAAAAAAAAAATTTTCGAGTTTTTTTTTGTTTCACTGCTCGTTTTTGATTTATTTGATTTTCTAGCATTTTCCGTAGTCTGCAATGGCTTCCTCTTCAGATCCGGACAGGCGCAAAAAAGCTTTACAAGATTATCGAAAAAAATTATTAGAACACCGCGAGATAGATGCGAAAGTTAAAGAATGTGAGTAATGCAATTATAAGTCGTCGTCCCTACCAAATCCTCCCTACTCAAATTTTAATGAAGTCATAGATCCTGATTCTGAATATATTTAAGAAATAAATAAGTAGAAGAAACACGTTTTTTTAAAAAATTTGCCTAGATATTGTTCTAAGGTTTCTAAAATAGAGTATTAAATAATTCTAACGGAACAGTTCGCCTCGGTCTTCGTGATCTTGAAAAACAATATGAAAAAACGGAAGATGATATAAAAGCATTACAAAGCGTCGGTCAAATTATAGGCGAAGTATTAAAACAACTGGATGAGGAACGATGTATGAAAAAATAGTTGATATCACTTGAAAATTTTTTATTTTGAACTAACATATTTTTTTGCATATAGTTATCGTGAAAGCATCATCTGGACCGCGTTATGTTGTAGGATGCCGTAATAAAGTAAATAAAGAAAAACTCAAACAAGGCACAAGAGTTGCATTAGATATGACAACTTTAACAATTATGCGAATGTTACCAAGAGAAGTCGATCCATTGGTATATAATATGAGTTTAGAAGATCCGGGTAAGGTAAATTTTGCTGGTATTGGTGGACTTGGTGAGCAAATCCGTGAATTAAGAGAGGTATTTCTTAGTTAATTATATAAATCGTTTATTAAACTGTTATCTAGAATCTTATAAACTAGATTAATTATATAGGTTATAGAGTTGCCTCTGATGAATCCGGAACTTTTTCTTCGAGTTGGTATTAAACCACCAAAGGGTGTACTCTTATATGGACCACCAGGTACTGGCAAAACTCTCCTTGCCCGTGCTGTTGCTAGTACACTTGAAACAAATTTCTTGAAAGTTGTTTCAAGTGCTATTGTTGATAAGTATATTGGGGAAAGTGCACGGTTAATTAGAGAAATGTTTGGATATGCCAAGGACCACGAACCATGCATTATATTCATGGATGAAATTGATGCAATTGGTGGCAGACGTTTTTCTGAAGGTACAAGTGCCGATCGGGAAATTCAAAGAACTTTGATGGAGGTAATGATTAACATAAATTATCAATAAATTATATTGTTTTATTTTCATCTAATTCCCTATTATTGATAATCTTAATTTTCTAGCTTTTAAATCAAATGGATGGATTTGACTATCTGGGACAAACTAAATTAATCATGGCTACAAATCGACCCGATACTTTGGATCCAGCTTTGCTACGACCTGGTCGATTGGACCGAAAAATTGAAATTCCTTTGCCTAACGAACAAGGTCGCCTTGAAATCTTGAAAATTCATTCATCTCCTATTACAAAACATGGTGAAATTGGTAAGTGAAATCCTTATATGTTTATAGTATTGAAATTTTTTCAGTAATTAGTATGACTAATAATTTTAAACCTATTAAAGATTATGAGGCTATTGTTAAGCTGTCCGATGGATTCAATGGCGCAGATTTACGTAATGTTTGCACGGAAGCAGGTTTGTTTATTAATTCTTTCGTAAATTTATTTTCAATATTAAAATTTTGACACTTTCCTTTTAAGGTATGTTTGCAATTCGTGATGAACGAGATTTTGTTCAACAAGAAGATTTTATGAAAGCAGTTAGAAAAGTTGCAGATGCAAAGAAATTAGAATCCAAATTGGATTACGAAAAATTATAATTTAATAAATTAAAAACTTTATACTTTATGATTTCTGTATAATAAGCAATGATCTCCATCTCTATAACATCCCATTATCAACTCATAATTATAAAAAAAATTTATTAAGCAGCAAAGAAAAAAATGTATATTTAAAAGCCATATTTAATTTTGTATTCCCCTATAATATAGACAAACCAGATAAAAATATTTTGCCCAATATCGCCAACACAATCGGGCAATTGCAAAATATAGCATTAAAAAAAAGGGGAGTGAAAAAACTGCGATTAAACTAACGATAAAATACACTGCAATTTAAATCTGGACAAACCTATACATATATATATATGTATATATAGAAAAAAGAAGTTAATATATCCTTTTAAACAAACAATTAAACATTACCCGATTTAATCCTGTTAATCGAATCTTTTATTAAGTCTTCACTTTCTTATTCGGTGATTCTCCGTTCGTCTGAAAAATTTCAATAAATTAATATTTAAATTGTAAGAACACAATTAGTTATAGAAAACCAATATTCACATCATTAATAGAAAAACGTTCGGCTCTTCTTTTCTTTTTTTCTTCTTCGTTAGTTTCGGAATTTGATGATGTTGTTGACGATGGATTGTCTACAGAAGCAGAATTTGATGACGCATTCTAGAAAAGAATGAACATTTAATTAATGAAGTAAAATGACAATCTTTCGAACTAAAATTTTATTAACTTACCAAACCAAACCTCTCTGCTCGTTTTCTTTTCTTCTCATCCTCGGCTAATGTATTGGATTTATCAAGTCCAAATCTTTCTGCACGTTTTTTTAATTTTTCATCATCTTCGACAATAGACTAAATTTTTTTTTTTTTTAAAAAAAAAAAAATATTAATATGTTAATTAATTTATAAATGTTTGGTTCATATAACTCACTGATTTTCGGTTTGGAATTCTCGGTGCTAATACAGATTTAACAAATATAATTTAGTAATATTTATTAAATAATGACTAAAATAAAAATCAATAAATACCTGTAAGAGGAGCGTCCAATGGATTAGAAACGGTTGTACCAAATCGAGCTGCTCTCTGTAATTTTTTATCAGCATCAGATAATTTTACTCCAAACCGCTCAGCACGTTTCTTTCGTCGTTCTAATTCTGAAGCCAAATCATTTTGATTTTTACTGGGAACTTGGATTATTTGTGCTGCTGCCGTAGGAAGATTGTCAAAAACGATTTTTTTGCACTTAAAGCCTGATGGTTTTACAATACTATCAGAATTCGATGAGGACGATACTGTTTTAAGAGTTTTAGCCTCATTGGATGAAGGATTCTTTGTTTCAACTGACTGTTTTGCTTCAACATTAGCAACATCATTGGACCCTCTGGTTGCGTCGATCTCTGTCTTTACTTTTTCGGGTGATAATTCTTTGATTGAAGTTACTGAGAGTGAAGGTGAAATTGGGGAGATGAGAGTATCAAACTCTCCATCTTTTTGCAAAGTAATGCTAATGACAAATAAGAAAAAATTAACTAAGAAATTATTAAGTAAATATGGAATTATTCTGAAATTTACTTACTCTGTAGTTAGGTTTTCCCAATCAAAGTCATTATCAATTCCAGTTGTAATATCCGTTGTTGACATTAGGTTAAGTTCTTTGTCAAACAAATCATTATTTTGTTCGACTGGATCTTTATTAATGATATTTTCAATACTACTTTTACGAGTAGGGTTAGTATTGCTATTATTTTTAGAAGTCTGACTTATTGTTTCTACAGGTTTCTTATCTTCAGCTGCTATAAGTCTAGCAACCAACTCTTCTTTTTTACCGGAAACCGGTAGACCTTTCTTTGCTAATAAATCTTTAAGTTCCTGAACCTTAAGTTGGCGATATGACGTAGACATTTTTTTTAGGAAACGCTTGTTAATTCCAATGTCACTATAATAAATTTATTATTTTCTAAACAGATTTATGGACCTTTAGAACCACTTATTTTTCTGTTACTGTTATCTCCAAAAAATATATAAAGACAATATTAGCGTTAGTTGCAGGGATGCCCTTTTTTTGTTTCATTATGTAATCATGTGACTTAACAAATCAAACTACTATCTGCACTAGATGTTGAAAATACTATTATTAGCATTAAGCCACAGGTGAGTGCCACACTTAGTTGTTTGAACGCGTGATATATAAAATCAGAAGCCTTAAAACGGATTTTACAAGAGAATATAATTTGAGACTACGATATAAATTTTTGAATTCACGCGACAAATGTCATTGCCTGGTTATAATCGTTATCTTTCAAATGATAGTGATGAAGAAAACGATAGTATCGAAATTCTTCAACGTCCACATTATAAATATCACAGATATTCTTTGGACTTACCAGGTTTGCCCTTTAAATATTTTATTTAAGACTTTATTCGGTTAAAACTGACACTTTTATTCTCTACCAACACTTCTTAAAGGCATTATGACGAAAGGTATTATTACATTCCCAGTATTAAAAAAAAAAGAGTTCTTTTTAACTTATCTCCTTGTTTAACATAGAGCAACAAACACAAATTGGAGTAGCCGGACCAAAACTGATTGTGGCAATGGGTATTAACATTTCTCATAATTATGGTTACTATTCTGTACTGGATATTGTTATACTAATTATGTCATTTGTTTTTTAAGTTGGGTTGCCTGCGCGAGGCAAATCATATATTGTAAAGAAGCTTAGACGTTATTTAACATGGTTACAATATGAGACAAAGGTATTTCTTAATCATAGGAATGTATTTTTAGTAATTGTATTGATATAATTTTATAAATAGATCTTTAATGTTGGCAACTTACGTCGTAACACAGCTCAATTGATTAAAAATGGAACCGCACCGAACAATCATTCACACTCATTTTTTGATCCAAATAATGAATATGCCAAAAACGTAAGAGATCAACTCGCAATGGATAGTTTGGATGAGCTGATTTATTGGCTAAAAACGGGTGGCAGGGTTGGAATTCATGGTAATCTAGGAAATTTCATTATTTATCTGATTTATTCATTTATAATAATAATAATTTAATTTCAATTACAATAGATGCTACAAATTCTACAATAGCAAGAAGGTAATATTTATTTTGAAAAACCTTTAACAGCCGTATTGAAATAATTTCAGCGATCAGATCTAAATTAATTTATAATGCTAACGATTATTGGTCTATTTGTAGAAAGAAAATTTTGGAGCGCTGCCAACGTGAAAATAATTTCAAAGTACTTTTTATTGAATCAATATGTGATGATAAGGAGGTATATTACCGAATATATTGTTAAACCCTAAATTAAAAGCTAACATTTACGTTAAGGGTTTTGAAGGTTTTAGAATCAAATATGCGTCTCAAACTTTCGGGTCCAGATTATAAAAATGTTGATCCTGAAGAAGCACTAGATGATTTTCGTAGACGTGTTGCTAATTACGAAAGGGCTTATGAAACCATTGGTGAAGAGGAGGAAAAAACTGATGTGGAGTATTGTAAATTAATTAATGTAGGAAAAAAGGTAAAGGTAAAATTTTGATGTTCACTAAAAACATTTTTGATAAATCACGTATATTAAATAAATTTTTAGATTATTGCGCATAACATTAAAGGTTATCTGAGTGGTCAATGCATATTTTATTTAATGAATTTAAATCTTATTGGTAAGAATTGTTTTATTTATGGAAGAATTCTTTTTGTTTGGATTTTACCGCAATATTAAACTTATTAAATAGATCGGCAAATCTGGTTAACAAGACATGGGGAAAGTGCAGATAATGTCTCAGGAAGAATAGGTAATTATTGCATATTGATACTATATTTATTTAGGATGAGAATTCTAATTATAATTAAATAAATAGGTGGTGATTCATCGGTAAGAAATTTTGAAACAGATTAGCTTTTTATAACATCAAATTCTGACCACAAGAAATCGTGTCAAATTTAAGCTATCTGAGAAAGGTCGCAAATTTGCCGCATGTCTTTCTCGTTTTGTTCACGCACAAAAAATGCTTTTCAGACAAAAACAGTTGGAAAATTATCGGGAAAAAATTGGATCATCGACACCTCCCCCAGAACCTCCTGAAAGAAATTTCTTGGTTTGGACGAGTATGTTAAAAAGGACAATTGAAACAGTAGAAAGTCTTGATCCAAAGGAATTTGATATTATGGTAAATTATTATAAAAATATTTTTTAAAATAAAAAATGTCAAATATTTACTAAATATAAATTAAACTTTTTACAGCATATTAGGTTTCTTAATGAGATTTATGCGGTAAAATATAAATCAAATTTAATCTCGTTTGAATGCAATTGAAAATCATTAATTATTCCTTTTTATTAAAAATAGGGCCGATGTGAAGGAAAGACCTATCAAGAAATAGAACAATCATATCCAGAAGAATTTAATGCACGTAAAAATAATAAACTTTATTACCGCTATCCAGGGATGGGTGGTGAATCTTATTTGGATGTTATCCACAGAGTAAATCCGTTAATTATCGAGTTAGAAAGAATGACCGATAACATATTAGTAGTAACGCATCGAGTCGTACTCAGAATTATATTGGCATATTTTCTAGATGTTGAAAAGGAAAAAGTGCCAGATATGGATGTTCCATTACATACTTTGTATTGTTTGCAACCTAAGGCTTATGGTAATTATTAATATATTTTCAATGACGATTCAAATTGTAAAAAATTAATACAATAAATGATTGTGTAGGATCCGAATTAACAAAGTGGAAATATGACGATGAGCAAGATCAGTTTTTCCAAATAGAGTAATGACTTAACGTCACGTGTTTGATGATAAATCATGACATCACATACAATATCATAAAGTAGTTTTCTGTTCATTAGATGTAAATCTTTTAAATTTTTTTATCATGTTTATACGATTTTTTCCTCGAAAAGGTCATTATATTTATCCATATTGTTGTTACAATGTTTATATCAAATTAAAATATGTTGTTCCCAGTTTGAAAAATACAACATTATCGCCAATTTCACCTACTTCACCAACTTGTTTACAACGCCAATATCATGTCACGTCAGGAAAATTTATGAGTACACCTTTAGATAATAATATGAAAATTGACCCCAATGATCCTTTAGTTACAAAGATTCGTTCAGACCCAGAAATCCTTGTATCTATTCAAGAATTTTCTCAGCTCCTTCAAGGAAAAGGAGTAGATATAAGTAGAGGTCAAATGCCTTCTATGTTACAAATGGCTAAACTTGCTTCAGACAAAGAAATAAATGCAAAAATTACGAATATTAATACACTACTTAACAGGGCAGGAATTACTTTAGACTCTCAAACTATACAAAAATTTATGAATTGGGCTAATTCTGATAAGGCTTCAGAACTTAATGTTTCTCAAAATTCTACTCAAAAAATTCCAAGCCAGGCTACTACTTTGACACCTAAAGCAGATATTATTGAAAAATCGAAAGAGACAACATCATCTCCTGAAAAGGCAACTTTTAATCAAGTAGAATCAAAGGTGATGGCAGCAGATACTGCAAAGACGGCAACATCAAAAACGACGAAAGAACAACCAAAAGAGTCAGTTGGATTTATTGCAAGGATCAAATCATGGATATTTAAAACTTAATGATTTACACAAACATTATATTCGATATAAATTATATGTATAAAAAAAACAACTCAAAATAAAATATATCAATCATTATTGTTATTTTATATTTCACAAAATTTTGGAAATTACGTGTAACTTGCGTGATGAGATCTTGTCCGTTCTTTAATTCTCATTTTTTCTAAATAATCGACTGTCCTCAACCCACGCTGCCCTTGATTTTACGCCTCCGGTTAATGTAAATGTATTTATGTGCTTTAATAAGGTTTCTATAGTTGATGTATCTAGATTATAATGAGTTGATAATTTCTCTGCTGTAAATTCATTAGGAGCTTTCTTCCTTTGTTCCAACATTTCTCTTAGTTCATATACAAATATGCGATTTCTTGGGGTTTCCCCCTCAATTTCTTTATCAGCTTTTCTATTTCTGAGAATTTTTAGCATCTCATCAGACTTTACCTCCATAAAAAAAACATTAGTAAATGGTATTTATATAAATTTGTAAATAATTTTAAAATTCTACAAATTCTACCTGTTTAAATGGTTCTTTCTCTTTTGGAACATTAACTTGACCAATTATAAACAAATTTTTTAATAAATGGGGATCTTTTCCATCGTCTTCTGTAACTAAAGAATAATGAATTTATTTTTCACAAATTATTACCGACTATTTATTTGTATATACCTTTGTTTCTCAATTCTCGTATTATTGTTTCTTTGTTAGCTGAATGCGTTTCAAATGCACTTGATTCAACATTTGAAACTATATTTTGTGGTAATTTTCTTGAAATTCGTTTGGAACCTTGGGCTCCCATTTTATATGAATTAAAACTGAATTCTTAACTGTTAACTGATTGGTACTAATACCTTAATCTAGATAATCTAGTCATAAAAGGAAAAAATTTATATATAACATAATTTTCAGATCAATGTACTTATTATTATCCTTCTCTCTAGCAACTTCGGAAATATTGTCGAAAATATAAATCAATTTTTTTCTTCTAAAATATTATCAAATTTCTCGGATTATTTTTTTTTTCTTCTGAATAGTAATGGGTCGATGCCTTTACGATGACAACAAATGTTAGCGAAGACAGGAAAAGGCTGAAAGAATTATTAACGTGGGTTTTAATTAGAGGGCTTTTTGAAGAATAATTGTTTATGCTTGCTTTGAATTTTCTAGTGACGCTTCTGAACTTGAAAGAGAATTCTTAAAGAAACAAGAGCAACAGAAGAAAAGAGTTAAAGGCACCGAAAATAATGCGGATTTAGACGATGATACAGAATTTTTGCGTAATAGGTAAAGAAGGTTACTTTATACATACTTATTATGTTATTTCTTATTTATTTTTATTTCCTATTATATAGCCTTAAAGACGTTTATGAAGATATTCTTTTGATTGACCTTAAAACCGCTAATGAAAATAATATTGAAGAAAAACTTTGGAGAAACGTCTTTTATAGTCATATGGAAGAACTTAGGCAAAAATTGCGTAAAGTTAGTGTATTCGCTTTTGTTTGATGCTATTTTAAGCACATTAATATTGTTAGTCTAATCTGTATTTGTCGTATAGGTTAAACCTGAAAAGGCAATCGAATATCAGGCCACGTATCTTGAATTATGTCGATATTTGGACTTGGGTACCGGATTTTACCACACAATCGTTGATAACTTAAAAATTCGTGAAAATATAGATTTAGATCGGATTGGAATCGGTAATTGATAATTTATTTTTTTTGTTTTTTTCCTTTTTGGTTTGAAAAACTATATCATCATATTAATTTATTTAGAGGTTTTCAAGAATAATGTTAATCCTTCGGCCACAGCATCACGCTCTGTGTCAAAATATCGCAGAAGAGAACTTACTGCCGAATATATTCAGCGATGTCTCATCCACTTAGGTGACTTTGCTCGTTATCGTGAGACACTTCTCGATGCAAGTGAAAAACGTTGGGAGTTTTCCAGACAGTTTTACACTAAAGCTGCAAGGGTTTATTGTGAGAACGGTAATAGTCGGATTTTAACTAGATATGATATAAATTATAGCAAATCATATAATAATTTATTTTATTTAATAGGTAAGGCACAGGCACAATTAGCTCTTCTTGCAACATATGGTGACAATGAATTAGATATTGTTTATTGGTATTGTTTTAGGTAATGCATAATATTTGGAATAAAAGAGTTTTTTTTTTGTGATAACTTTATTTTTGCTTCTTTATTTTTTAGTCTTTCAACAAAACAGCCTCCTAGTATTTCCTCAGAAAATCTAAAGTTCTTTTATTCAAAATTTGCCCAACAAATTAACGAAACTCCAAATGGTATTAAAGATGTGTAAGTGAAAATAGTTTATATATTAAGTTGACAAAATTGACAACAAAATTAAAGTTTTTTCATAGTTTAACTGTTAAGGACTTTGCGAAAAACTTCATGGTTATTCATCGGTATATTTTTGAAAAAAATGTTGAAAAATTGATGGAAAATGATGATGCTGAAAAAATTGTTTATCGTTTTGATTCATTATTGTCATCATCCGAATCAAGTCTTCGCGATTTGAGTATAACTCTCAAAAAAGTGATATTTATTCTCATATTTACCATTTGGGACTTGCGTAACGGTTCAGGTAAGATTAATCTAGGCTGAAGTTCCAAATTATTATAATATGCATTATTTAATTTTCATTTTTATTATAGTGCAAAGTCGAATTCGAAATTTGCAAGCTTTAGCAATTGGATTGGCATTTGGCTTTTTAATTCCGGTTTTTGAGAAGATAAATTCTTTGAACTCTGAAGACGAAGAGAAAAACTATACATTATTCTTACCTATTGTTATTTTATGGTGCGAATATTTGGGGACATTGACTGATCTTTTGAGTCAGTTGTGTAAATCAGCTGATAAAGAAAATATGAAGATTTCCAGAATGTTTTTAATGGTATGTTACTATTTATTCCATTTAATACTATAAATATTAGTTATTAACAATATTTTCGTTTTGAAATTCAGAATTTGAAAGCTTTCTTCAAATCATTTGTCGATTTCATAAACCATTCAAAATTTTCTAATTTATTGTCTACAAATGATGATTTTCATGAAGTAGCTAAACGTGCTATTTCAGAAGATAACGAATTTTTGGGAATAATTCCACTGCGGGTAGTTCATCAGGATATTAACTTTAATATTTTCGGTAATGTTGACATGCTTAAGGTTAGGTTTGCTAGATTAATTATTTTTGGTAAGAAAATTTCCGAAACTAGGGTGAGTATATAAAGACATGCAAGAAATTGTATTACTATCTACATATTTAACGCTTTTATTATTTAGTCATTGGATTTATTAGAATACAATGAATCTACAAGTCAATTCATAATGATTGATGAGGATTTAAAGGTACTGAAGACTTTTGTAAAAAGTTATGTTAAGAAAATATGTTTACTTATAACATAATTCTATAGAAAAAAAATCGACAGCGTGTTATGAAATTAATGGCACAACAACATTTGCTATATCAAGTGAATGATTTGGAAGATAAAGTTAAGAATATTAAACCTCATCAGTTACAGCAAACTTCACTTGTTGCTTCAAAGGATTCAAATGCAATACCGCCCAAACACTGTGTAGTTGATATTACTATTTTCTTAAATCATTTAAATTCTGTTAAGAAATGGATAGCGGACGCAAAATGTATTGTTATTGTACCATTGGAAGGTAAAAAAAAAAATTCATTATTTTATTTTTTGTTTTAGCATTTAATTATTTCGAGTAACTAAATTCGATAATTACCCATAATAGTTATTGATTATTTGGATATAATCAAAAAAGGAAATGATAAAGAAAATATACGTGCAAGAGAAGCCATCCGTTTTCTAGATCAACAATTTCACAAACGGCAACAACAGAGCGAAAAGGAGAATGAGCTTTTCATTCGTGCCCAGCGAACAAATGAAAAGTTACCACAATGGAATTGCTCAGAGGATTATCTTATTGAAGAAATTGATAGTTCCGAGGATGTTATTTATAAAGACCATAAAGATAATGAAGAAGGATCAAAAAGTTCTGATGAGTTCAATTATTTAAAAGAGAAAAAATTTGATATCATGGTCATACCACAAAAGTATCGTCCACTTATGAGTTGTTGGCTATATTATGCTTACGTGGCGAAAATGAATGAGATTTTATTTGTATCGGAAGATCAAGAATTAAAAAAATATGCAAAAATGTTTGGTATTTCCGTTGTAGGTGTTGAACTTATTTAATGTTATAGACAAGATAATTAACTATTTCAGATTAATCGCGAATCTTTACATTCGATGATACGATGTAAGTCTAAATACTCTATTTTTGTTCTATTTAGCTCTTCTTTCAATACCATCTTTTAAAATTTTCTCAAACTTTTGCAATCGCGTAATTGCTTCTAATCCAGGTTCACCTCGATTGTTAATTATGTTCGGATTTACCGCACTATTTGTTATATCATTTCCATTTGATGATGTATTGTTATTGACTGAGTTATGTTGATCTATGGTACATGGAAGGTGAGATACAATTTCTTCATATGATTTTTGTATAGTTTCAAAGTCTTGAAGACTCTAAATGTATTTTGTCAAAAAACAAGCGCTTTATAAAAAAATACTTCATAAGATATTAGATTAAATAAAAAAAATATTGAATATTATTTACTTTGCGTATTTTACATAGTCTTTTATTTGCTTCTTGCACTCGATGTCCTAGACCTAAAATTATCAAGATAAATTAAGATAATGCAAAAATAAAGGAGTAACAAAGCAGTAAATTACCCTCGACGATCTTATCTCCGTCACGCTTAATGTAATCCTTTTTAATCCACGGAGAAATTTCGTTATCGTAGATTTCATTAAACCTTTTAAACTTGGATGACAGATCACTAGCAATTACAGAAAGGTCTTCATGAGTTTGATCATTCACATCTGGTTCATCTAAATATAAGCATGCTTCTTGTTCTTGAATACAATTGGATTCTGCATTAAGGGCTTGTAATTCTTGAATTTTCTTTCCTTTCATTGACTGAAGTGTAGAGAGATCAAGTTTGCGTTTATCACTCTCTACAGCTTTTTCTTTTCCGATCATTAACAATACATCTCTCGGAAACAAAACAAATTCTTTTGAAACAATTTTATTAACTAAATCACATTCTTTAGATATGGAATCAATTAAATAACATGATTTTTTGAAATCGTCCGGTTTTCTATATCAATGTGAAACACATCAATTCAAATTAAAAAAAAAAACGCGTAAAAAAACTATCAATTTAAACCAGGAAAAAAAGGAATTACATCGAATTTGGTATCTTGAAAGTATCATCTAGAATAATTCGAGAAGTTTTCAAGATGTTTAATAAATTGAAATAGAAATTTATTAATCGAAAATGAGGTGCTGTCGCCTATCAAGAATTGATTAATATCATATAATTGGTGTTCGGAAGGTATAGAAAATTATACATACGTCAATTAAATCTGTGTCGGTTATTTTACATATTCCTAATGAAGCTACAGTTTGAGTTAAACCTGTAAAAAAAAGTGATCGAAAATTAGGTACCTACTTGTAAAATTTAAAAACTAATAAAAATACCACAAACTTTGTAAGCGCAATTCATTATTTTGTGGAAATATTCTTACTAAACGATAATCAATTCTTTCAGAAAAAAAAGAAAAGAAAATTAATAACCTAAAGTATAAGTAAGAAACTGAAACTTCTTTAATTTACTTTAGCAAAACCCATTCAATAAAATCACAAGCAATTTTTTGATCATTAAGAACTTGATGAAATGTAAATGGTGAATTAATTTCAAAGAATTTTTGTGAAATTTCTTCTAATTGTTGATTCATCATTTACGGAATGACTAAGTAACGTACCGCGTTTATTTTCGCGTGTTCTTTGATCGGCCTACTGATTTTTTATCATATTATAACAGTTCTAACCAAATTTGTACAATTACCTCAATGTTTTAAAAACCAGAAAATTTTCCGATGTGGCGATGATTACACTTGATAATTCTAGAGCAATTTATATGTTTATTTATTTTTATTTGATTCTACTTAATTTTATAATTCTTCTTGATACCAAATTCGTAAGTCGTAACGCATTATTGAAATTCAAATTACATAATCCCATTACAATTCTGTTTATAAGAAAACCCCTTTTTAGAAACATAACTGATAATAAGGAAATAATAGAATAAATAATAAAGAGTATTAGGATTTTTAAAGTTATTATACTTATAAATAATTATTTTATTAGTAATAATACATTTATTATCATAAATGCAGTAGAATTAATAATTTAACATCAGATATAATATACTACTTAAAGCCAGTCCCAAATTTCAAATTCCAAATTCCAATTCAAAATTCCAAATTATATTGTATTTTGCCAATATGTATAGCATCAAATAATTAGGCTCATTATCTATTTCACAAAAATCCATTAATTCCTTTAATTTTTAATTATTTAAACTGCCATTTTATTAGATTTATGATTTTCATAGCAAATCATTTCATAAATTATAGCTGCTACAAATTTGCTTTCTCTTTCTTTTGCATAACTTCATTTTGAGATTCAAATAAAATGTATCATATACAGTATATAGTAGTTATTGACCAAACTGTGAAGTGATTTTTTAACTATTATTACCCAATAACTGTGTTATTCTATATAAAAAGCATAGTAAACAATAGTATTTTACCTTAAAAATTAATATTTGTGATATTTAATCTAAATGGTGTAAATGTGTTAAAAATATTAATTAATGAATTATAAAATTAATTTTAATAAATTATAATAATTATCCATGTATTATTATAAAAATCATTTTTAGAATAAAAATTTGATTTTCTTTTCCACAAAATTAAGTATGGCCGATAATTAATTTGGACCAATAAGCGTAATGAATCACGTGGAATGGAAAAAAGGTAAACTCCACAAAATTTTTCGTGTAATTGCTTCGGTATATGTTCTTCTTTTGCTGCGTCCTGTACGAACACCACGAATTTTGATTTTTGATTTTTATTTTTTTATATCAAGCGTTGCATGTTGTGTCATTAGATAAAATTATCAAAAAGACAAAGTCCACGTGTTCTTTAGTTCAAGGATAATTTTAATTGCATTTGAAAATTAGCAAAATTACATATAAATTCTTTGTAAATTTGAATCATGTATTCTTGTACTCTTATAGGCTAATTACAAAATTGCTTAATTTAAAAACTTTTTATTCCACATATAGTGGATGTTCCATTTATTATATGAAACCTAGGAAATAATTATTACGGTTCGAGATGAATTTGAATAAAGCTTGTCAAGCTCTGGATTGAGTGTGATGACATACGTATAACATATATACTGGTAAAAATTCATCTGGAATGTGGCAAACTTCATTAAAAAAGTCAAAGAAAGATGAAATATATTATTTATTCATTGACTGGGCAGCCAAGACAAACCAATGACATAAAGAAAGTTAATTAATGTAGTATTTGATATTGATATTTGCCGATATGTCATAATCACTCGTCTTCAATTTTCTCATTCAATTTTAAAATTTTTTATTTGACATGATTTAGTTGATTTACGCCATTTACCTTGTTCGTATAATAGAAAAAATTGACGAATTTTGGCTAATGTCTTTAGCACTTTTCGTCTCCCATCTGGACCTACTAACCCTACTAAATCAATTGACTTCTTTTCGGTAAACAGCATATCAAACAATCAGTTCAAACCTCTATTCTGCTGAAATGAAAAGTTCCTTTAATGACTATTCTACATAGAGGAAGTTTCTATGTTTTGATAGGTACAAACTTTCAGTAACAGTACTTTTCTATAATAATTCATAATATCTTTAAGGCTATGCATTAGAAGTAGATTGTCCACCAAAGTGTCAGGTTTAGAATTTTTCGTGCCTGTTGCTACTTTTTCATACGTCACACATTTCGAAACTGGCTAACATTACAAGATATTAAAATAATTATAGACGCACGTTAGTTAAGTCAAGCATTGAGCCAGGCACATTGAACAATGCCCAATAATATATTAATATTATTATCGAAGTGAATTTAATTTGTTCGAGAATTCCACAAAATAAAATAAACTACTATATATTATCATTTATTTGTTTTTTTTTATTAAGTAAAATGATTGGACCCTTGCAGTGGACATATATGGTTTGACTTGTTACAATTGTTACAACAACACCACCTATCTGCTACATACTTATAAATTATTGAGAATTCTCATTTGTATTGTTTAGACCTCATTTGTATTGTTTAGAATCCTCATTTGTATTGTTTCCTTTTATTGTAATTTTATAATTTTCTCTTAATTTACTTTTTAATGACTCGTTAACTGTTAAAGGCTTAATGGACAACTGTGCCACGTTACTTTTATTTTTCGGATTCTCAAAATTCTACTAGAACATATGTAGCTAGCTGTTTGAAACATTTATGAAACCTCTAGTGTTTCAGTACATTGTATAAATTAATATTAAATATTTAAATTTTTTGTTTTCAATTGGACATGCTGCATTCGGATAATTTACATAATTCTTTCTTCGAATGATTCATCAATCTTCATTTGCACGACTTTGTAAATCTTTGTAATGAGATCGACTTTCTTTGTATGTAACAACATGGCAATGATGCAAAATTTTGTGTAACATATAATAAAAGCAAATTAAATTTACCATTTCAGCTAACAAAAGAACAAAAGGAATTTCAAATAAGGCCGCAGTTTACGCCCAAATGTCAAGGCGCAGCATTAAGTTTTTCCGGCTCATTTCCGTGAATCGAAAGGCCGATGACAAATACAAGGGATTTTGTGGCGTATTGAAGCTTTAAAGAGTAAGAATCATGACGGTGCATGACGAAAGTGTCTTAGATGCTTTGCTGATCCATACGTTTTTTATAATAAACTGAAATTTTTTTTTTTTTGTCTATTAAAAGATTTGTGCGCAGAATACAAAATTTATTTTTAGATATTATACCCTGGTCCTTTGAGATTTCAGGTTCAAAAAAAAAAAATTTTTTCTTGTGTTTATATTTTTTTAAAAAAAATAAAATATTATTTCTCTGTCGATTTACGACTATTTTTTTAATAAAGAAAAAAAACTACAATTATGAGCAATGGCAAATCTGGCGTTAGCCTTGAGCAAAAATTTGGTAAAAAAAAATTTTTTTTTCCTCTAGTTTTATTAAAGTCTTTGTTTACTTATTTTTTAATATAAATCTACATCTCTTTCTGTTTTGTAATCTGATCTGTCTTTCATTAAAAAACTAACTTTTGCCTTAATGAATCTTTCACATCTATGTTTATGAAGCTGATTTAGGCTTCAAGGACAATCAAAGTTCGGGGAAACCTACCGCTGGTCGTTATGTTCCTCCCCACATGAGAAACAGATCTGACCGAACAACCGAACGAACAACCGAACGAACAACCGAACGAACAACACCTACCATAAAAGAAAACACATCTCAGCCACCACAACAATATCAAAATAACGATAACTTACAACCACAACCACAATATGATAATGAATCTTATAATAATGAACATGACGAGCTAGTTCCACCCCTCCAATCACGCCGTTCGAACGGCTGGCATTCTCGGAATGGAAGGTATTTATTTTTATTTATTATGTATATCATGTTTCGAAGAGGTTAGTTTTAGTAGTTCAGGTATTGTTTAGTAAGTTAATGACTGCGAATATAATTTATTTAATTAAGTGAATTGTTATGATTAATAATATTTTTTTGATAGAAAAGATTTTGTCTCATCGGAAAACTAATTTTTTATGTTCATATTACTTGATATAAATAGTGCTGCGCCTGCAGTTAACTGGAATGGTGGTCGTACTTCATTCCCTCGTGCAGATGCTTGGGGAGGTAGTCGCAGTGAAATGAGTTATTCTACCCAAAATCGTACTGGTTGGATTGATCGGGCATCATCAGGGGGAGACCGTTACCGTAATCGTTATAGTAATTATGGTGGTCGTGGAGGAGGCTTTGATGATTTTGGTCGTCGTGGTGAAGATGGCTATGGTACTTGGAAAGATGGTGTACATAAAGTTGCACCAAAAAATTTACAGATAGAAAGAGAACTTTTCGGTTCACCCGATGACCCTGATCGTCAACATACCGGTATTAATTTTGAAAAGTATGATGATATTCCAGTTGAAGCCAGTGGTAATAATGTTCCAGAAGGAGTGTCAGACGTATGTTATCATTTGTTCGTTCATTTGTTCTCATAAATTATGTTACTAAAACTTAGTTTTTTTTAATATAGTTCACAAGCCCTCCTTTAGATAAACATCTTCTTTGCAATATTGAACTCGCACGTTACACTACTCCCACACCTGTTCAAAAGTATTCTATACCAATTGTATCTAATGGGCGCGACCTTATGGCTTGTGCTCAAACAGGTTCTGGCAAAACTGGAGGTTTCTTATTTCCAATTTTGTCTGAACTTTTCAAATATGGTCCTTCACCTCCACCGCCTGAACAACCTGGATATACTCGTGGTTTGTCTCGTAGTCGCAAAGCTTATCCTGTAGGATTAATTCTTGCACCTACTCGAGAATTAGCATCTCAAATTTATGAAGAAGCTAAAAAATTTGCATATCGTTCCTGGGTACGTCCTTGTGTTGTATATGGTGGCGCTGATATTTCCGGTCAAATTAAACAAATTGATCGTGGGTGCGATTTATTAACTGCTACCCCTGGTCGTCTTGTTGATTTGATCGAACGAGGTCGGGTTAGTCTATTTCACACCCGTTATTTGGTTCTCGATGAAGCTGATCGTATGTTAGATATGGGATTCGAGCCCCAAATTCGTCGTATTGTTGAACAAGAAGGTATTTGATTTATTTCTTGTATTAAAACTCTCTTATTATTCTTTAATAAATATTAATTTCTACCCTTTCTTTTTTTTTTTTAATATCATACTATTTATTTATTTAGATATGCCTGGTGTTAACGATCGTCAGACACTTATGTTTAGTGCTACATTTCCACGAGATATTCAAATTCTCGCTCGTGATTTCTTAAAAGACTATGTTTTCTTAAGTGTTGGTCGCGTTGGTAGTACAAGTGAAAACATTACTCAAAAAATTGAATACGTTGAAGAAGACGACAAACGATCCGTGTTATTAGATATTCTACATGCTCAATCAAATTCTGGGCTTACATTAATATTTGTTGAAACTAAACGTATGGCAGACATGTTATCAGATTTCCTTATTAATTCTAATTTTCCTGCCACATCAATTCATGGTGACCGATCACAACGTGAACGTGAGCGAGCTCTTGATTCATTTAGGACAGGTCGTACTCCTATAATGGTAGCTACCGCTGTTGCTGCTCGTGGTCTTGACATTCCTAACGTTACACATGTCATCAATTATGATTTACCGACTGATATTGATGACTATGTACATCGAATTGGTCGTACTGGTCGAGCTGGAAATGTTGGCTTATCAACGTCGTTTTTCAATCGCGGTAACAAAGGCATAGTTCGTGATTTGATTGATTTATTGAAAGAGGCGAACCAAGAAATTCCTATGTGGTTAGAGACTGTAGCGAAAGAAAGTCAAAGTTATGGACGTGGTAGTGGACGTGGTAGTGGTCGTGGAAGCCGAGGTGGTAATCGAGATCATCGTAGATTTGGTGGCAGCAGCAGTGAAAGAGGAGGCTATGGAAGCAGTAGTAATAATGAGTAAGTATTCGTATAACATTTCTATTTCAGATTAATGATAAATACTTATTAATTTCATTTTTCTTTGGGTAGAATTGGTTATTACGGCGGCGGAGGTGGCGGAGGTGGCTATGGTGGCGGAAGTTACGGCGGAGGTGGATATGGTGGTGGAAATTATGGGAATGCTAATGGAAATTATAAACAAAGCTGGTGGTAATATCCACCTTCTAAGAGAAAGGAAAACCGGGAGCTAATGAGGAAATGCGGAAACAGCTATAGAAATGTTTATGATGAGTATGATTTTCGGGGTGTGGTTATACCAATCGTGAAGTATAAGATTGTGATTATTGCATGCATTTATTTGAAATGAGAGATATATTCAAGAAATTTTGGCTGGACTTAATTGCAATTTCTTTGTTCTATAAATTATGATAGACGTCATCATTATTTTATTATATGTAAATGGACATTAATTTTTTATTATTATTATTATTATTTTATTTTATTTTATTTTATTTTTGGTTTACCCTCACCCCTTATTACTATTCGCTAATGTTAATTAATGAAATACCTTATAAAATATTCCGTATTTTCTTTACATATACATATATTATTTTTTTTTTAAAACAAAATTTTTCACAAGTATTCATTGTAAAACTCTGGTATATATATAGAAGCAAAAATGAACAATTTTATATTCTTTTTTATTCATTTAAATCATAGCTATCAATATATTTAAAAATTTGTAGATTTTTCATAATAATTTTTTTTCTTTTTTTTGGTTATTATTTCTGTATTTTGTGATATCATTACTACTTTTTTTTAAACGTATTTCTCAAAAAAAANAAAAAAAAAAAAAAAAAAAATATTAAACTTGTATTATATATGCCAGGGACCGCTTCTTTATCATATATATTTTTATTTTAGGTATCATTCCTTATATATTTTTTTCACTATTAATATACTTATTTTTCTGTTAAAAGTGCCTTTGCTTTTTTAAAAAAATTTTATTAAATAAAAATAAAATAACTACAAAAAATCAAAAAATATATTCGCGTGATTTTATCTTTAGTTGGTATATATGAATTGCAGTGTGTAAAGGTGATCGTAATATGCAATCCGCTAAGGTAAAAATAGAGAACATTTGGGGTGATGGAGAAGTTAAAAATCATGTTGTTTATTCATTAGCCTTAAAACAACCTCTTTGTGCTTATAGGGAGCAGAGAAAAATAATACAGAGTCAAGTTATAAAAAGATGGTAAGATTGGTGTTTATCGTGTTTATTATATACCACAATGCTGTATAAATCTTTAATGGAATTATATTATTACAATATTATAAATAACAGAAAAATTATATTATTGAATATATAATCTTTTTATAAACTACTCGTGATCTGATTCGAATCTGATTAAATCTGATCCCAGTATTTCAAGTCTATAAATCATACGCCAGAAGACGTACTTTCCATAGCTTCTCTACTCTTGAAATCTAATATTTTAACAAATAAATCATTAAACAGATAGATAAATACATATTGAAAATCCGATTATTCGATCACTTACAAATTGAGGAAAATTTGGATCTTTTAATATCTCTAGAATCCAATCTTGAAGTTCATCGTCGTCTTCAGGTAATGGAATATGTTGTCTCTGAATTAAATTATTGTTTAAGGGTTGGATTGTGGATAATGGTCGATTTCGTAAATGTTGAAATCCCTCCTGTGTTAAATGCGGCGAAATTTGTTTAGCTGACGAGTAGGTATTTTGTGTTGAATGTGATAAAAGAGTAGAGGGTTGATCCGAGTTTGTGGGTTGTAAATGAACTTGAGATGCAATAGATTGTGCAAATTGTGATTGATTAATTAGGTTCGGTTGGGATTTTGCTTGTATATGAGAACTCGGAACTCGCGTCGGTTGAAAATCGAATTCAAACCCATTATCATCTTCATTTATAGTTAAGTCGATAAAATAAGGCTCTTTTTTATGTAACGTAGGAGAAATATCCATTTGCTCTTGTTTTATCTTCACTTGCTGGACTGCTACTGAATTAGTGGTTATTTGATTTTGTGTACATGGTAATTGTAAATTTGGCATATTCTGTAATATATTTTTCTGCGGATTGGAGAATGACCCAAATCGTGACTGTGTACTATTTGTCACTTTTCGATTATTAGGAGACATGGATTGATGACTTGATTGAAAAGTCATGTTTACATTGTCTGTATGAGATGATCCCATGCTCGCATTATCCGTAATACTCGAATTATTTTGGGTAATATTTGTTTCGTTCTTTTCAACATTTTCTTGTTCATTAAACGTTCGTTGTGAATTTTCGATATTAATATTATGATGAGTTGTCTGTAAATTTTGCCGCACTCTTGATTCGTTAGTATCCGTCTGAAGTTTTATTTGATATTGTTTTTGATTATATTCGTTTTGCTGCTGTAGGGAATATGCCTGTTGTTGCGATTGACGCGAAAACTGATCATTTTGAGCCGATAAGGGTGCTTTGTGAGTCTTGTGAGTTGATACTTGAGGAGGGACCGACATATATCTACTGGGAGTATAAGATGGCTTGTCCGGTTCATTTTGAGTTATATTTGGGTTAATATATATACTTTGATTATTTGTATATGAGACTGATTTTTGATTGTGTTCATTTTCCATATATTTAGACGAACGTAAAACGGCACTTGTCATATGCTGATTATTTATGTGTGGCAAAGAATTATTTTGCGAATTTCTTTGTCGAACTGAAGTGTTGGCTGACTTGATTTGTTGATTTTGATCATGGATTCCATTAGATTGATGCAACTCTACATTATTCATTGAAGATCTTGACAAATTATTTTTGTGAACATCTCGAACCTGGTTATTTTGTTGTGAAACAGTAAACTGCTGCATGTTTATATTATTAGTGAAGCTTGATTGTGAATCTCGTAATTGAAATTTTGAACGATCTTCATCTATTTGAATCATTGAATTTCGCGTATTATCAGAGAAAGCAGACGTATAAGATGAAGTTGGAGATGCGGTTGACGAACTATTTTGTGGGCCGATTCTTTGTTGATGTTGTCCCGCTCGAGCATTAACAACTGAAGGCTCCCTCTGTGTTCTTTCTAAATTTACATTATTATATGTAACTACACTTGTTCGAAACTGCGAAACACTATTTGTGTTCTCTTGAGTTTGATTACTGATACTCGATTCGCCGTTTAAATTCAATGTTGGATCATTCATCCGTCTACAATTTATATATCTCTCAATAATACTTGCGCAAGATTCGAAATCACTGACAGTTTTGAACCTTAATTGAATCTTACGCGTTTCCTGACAAATTGGCTAGAAAATACGCGATAAAATATTTATATTTTACTATGCGTTATTCAAAGGAAAATACAATCCATCTATCTCACCATAGCATTATCATCCAAGACTGTATAGTTATATCTTATCCCAATTGTAGGACTTTTCAATAATGCCTTGGCTTTCAATGATTCTGCATATCGATAGGATACATTTAAAGATTCCTTGTTTTATTCTAAATTAGTTAAATATCCTCTTTCAATTATTATAATACTGTAATTTAATAATTTACCAATAACACGGTTTGATCTGACACGACCTTTAAAATAGGTTCTCCGGCTCCATTATTAATAGTTCCAGCAGGAAACATGTTTTCCAAAATAATGATGCTTGGTTGTGATATATGAGTCCATTGGGGAGCTGATTTATTCGAGGTATATTGTCTAGAATATCTTTCAAGTTCATAACGAAAAGGCATCGCGAATCGAGTAAATAGATCTGGTGATACTTTAAAGTTTTGATTTAAATTCTATTTAGACTATTTGCCCAGAATTTACGGCATTAAGAAATCATTTTTTCTCATTTTTCTATTGAGATCACGTGGGTGAAAGCGGTGATACTGGGAAGATCCGGTAGTTTGACGGTAACTTTGTTCTGATAAATTTAAAAACATTCTTAGTCACCGGCTACCTTTACATTCACCTCTTTAAAGTCTCCTGAAGCAATGTATGATAACGATCAATACTTGGCTACCTTAGCTATCTTCTTAAGACAAACATTAGAACCTGATAAAAGACAACATGGTATGATTTTGCTATTCTCAATGTGCAAATATTGAAAAAAATTGGTGTTTATCTTATATATTTTAACTTTGCCTGTACAGCTGAGCAGGAACTATTCAAAGCAGAGGCCGAGCAAAAAGACTTTCCTATTGCTGTTATGCAGTTAGTCACGAGAGAAAGTACCGAACAAAGTGTACGGTTTTCTGCGTCACTACTTTTTAAGAATTATATAAGAAGAAATTGGGTGCAGGTAAATTTACTATACTCGACGCGTGATTTGTACATTTACTTTCCTTAATATTATTTATTTATTTGTGTAGGAAGAAAATTCAAACTTAACTCCAGAGATAAGAATGGCGATTAAAGAAAGTTTGGTTGATATTTTGATATCCGTACCGTCAAATATACAACTTCAACTAAGTGAAGCTGTATCTTTAATTGCTGAAAACGATTTCCCTGATCAATGGCCACACTTGATCTCGGTACTATATTGATTCTTGTAAAATGTGATATTATTTATTTGATTGACTTAATATTTTTTTTTTTGGTACAGCAATTAACTAGTAAATTTAGTTCGGGAGACTTTGCCAGAAATAATGCTGTTTTGCAAACTGCTCATTCAATATTTAAAAGGTAATATAATAATATGTTTGCATGCTAATTAAGTTCTTCGATACACTGATATTTAAGATCACGATTTAAATAATTACAAATTAGGTATAAGTCAGAATTCCGAACTGATCCGTTATATAATGAAATCAACTTTGTCCTAGATCAATTTGTTCATCCCTATTGGCAACTTTTACAGGTATATTTATACGATTATTATAAAATTGATTAAAAATACTTATAATTAAATTAATTTTAGGCGACTGATGCGCTTATTACACAATATGCCAACGATAAATCTCAACTCCAAACTCTTTCACAAACTTTGCTTCTTCTATTAAAACTCTTCTATGATCTTAATTGGCAAGATCTCCCTCCATTTTTTGAAGATAATAAAGACGAATGCATGTCATTTTTGCATAAATATTTAACTTATAATAATCCTCTTTTGGATTCCATGGTAATCATTATTAGTTATCTAAGTTATCGATTTAGCATTAATAAATTGGTACTTATTGTGTTCAATTCGTTTAAAGAGTGAAGATGAAGCTGGTCCTTTGGAAAAAGTCAAGTCTATTATATGTGAAATTTGTGCGTTATATGCTACAAAATATGAGGAAGTATTTACAATGCTGCAGACGTTTGTGGAAACTGTGTGGACACTTTTAACAACCACAGGCCTTGAATCAAAGTATGATATTGTGAGTAAAAAGTTATTTTAATTTCACATTTATATTTAGAACAATTTGCGTTTGATTCTTACTATATTATTATTCAATTTTATAGCTTGTCAGTAAAGCTATGGCTTTTTTGTCTAAAGTCGTCAAATTGGAACGTTACAGCAGTCTTTTTGCGAAACAAGAAATACTTACTCAATTTTGCGAAAAGATTATTTTACCAAACATGTATTACAGACGTAAGTTGCGCAACAATTAATCTTGTCTAGGATTGTAATATGATACTTGATTAATATCTTTTCTTATAGCTATCGATGAAGAATTATTTGAATACGATCCTATTGAATTCATTAGAAGAGATTTGGAGGGTTCAGGTAATTAAAAGGTTAAAAAGTTCACCATGTGAGAATATAGTCACCTGATCCACAACGTGTTTTTTAGATAGTGATACTCGAAGACGATCTGCTTCTGATTTTGTCCGTAGTTTGATGACATATTTCCAAAAAGACATAACGACCATCATTTGGACATATATCAATCAATATTTACAGGTTGGATTTCTATATCTTTATAACAGAATTATAAATTTTAAATTTTCTAATTTATTTATGTCGTATACGTTAGCGTTATACCGAAAATCCACGTAATTGGAAAGATAAAGATGCAGCAATTTATCTTTTAACTTCGATAGCTGCTCCAGGGTCTACAACAAAAGTAGGTGCTCATTGAAATCCAACAAGATTGAAGATCATTTTAAGTAACAGGAGGAACTTTGTGTTAGTTTTTGCAAGCTTGTTCAGAATGATTTTAATAAGTAAACAAGATAAATAAGAGTGAATTTTGACTTATCGTTGATCTTAACAGCACGGTGTCACAACGACCAATGAGTTTGTAGATGTTGTCGAGTTTTTTTCTAAAAACATGTTACCGGATTTACAAACAGCAGTTGATAGTGGCCAACCAGTATTGAAAGTAGATAGTATAAAATATGTGTATACTTTCCGCAATCAGGTAAATTAAAATCGGTTAATTCGGTTGGGTTTATTCTTTTACTAAATTATTCAACTGTTCTAATATATAGATGACCAAACAACAATTAATTTCCGTGTTTCCGCTTTTGGTCAAACATTTGTCATCATCTAATTATGTTGTTCATACATATTCTGCAATTGCAATTGAAAGACTTACATTCAGATTCACTAAGGCTGATATCAAGCCATACACTCAAGAATTACTTATTAACCTGTTTAGATTAATCGAGGCTGGTACAACTCCTGAAACGTTAGCTGAAAATGATTACCTTATGAAAGGTATTTATATAATTATTTAAAAGTGAAACTAATGAAAATTACCTAATTAACGTCCTTTATATTTGATTGTCAATAGCCGTCATGCGTGTAATTTTTACTAGCCATGATGACGTGGCACCATACGTTACAGACATTATGAATCATTTAAATAAAATTTTAAATGAAATTAGTAAGAATCCGAGTAATCCGCGTTTTAACCATTGTGTTTTTGAATCAATTGGTGCTCTGGTGAGGTGAGTAAGAACGACAACCCTGGTATAATTTATACATTAATTGACATACTTAATATACTTTAATACCTCCAGATTTAATTGTCAAAATAATCCGGAAGCGTTGTCAAATTTCGAAAATATGTTGTTTGGCCCATTCCGGATGATTTTACAAAAAGATGTAGTTGGTGAGTACTAAATATAATTATGTGAACTTTATTTTAGATACAATAATGATGATTATTCTCTTCCTCTTCCTTTTTTTCTGTAGAATTCGTTCCATATGTTTTTCAGATTTTTTCGCAACTTCTCGAATTGCACACAGAACCTGTGTTTCCAGAAATTTATAGGTCTATGTTGCCAGCTTTATTGACTCCTGCTATTTGGGAGAATGCCGGTAAGAAATTTAAAATCCTCAATTTCAAAATTTATTTCTTATATATTAAATATAAAATATATAATGTATATCAGGTAATATACCCGCTTTGACTAGATTGCTTCATGCGTATATTTGCCGCGATGCAAGTTCTATAGTCATCAATAATCATCTTGAACCTATCCTCGGCATTTTTCAAAAGCTGATAGCCTCGAAAGCGAATGATAAATATGGCATTGATTTATTATGTTCTATTGTTCAGTATATACCTACGTAAGTTTTATTTATACTTAACCTTTTTTTTTCCTTTTTTCTCCTTATTAATAAATAATTTTTATACCAGGGAAACATTGAATAAATATTTGGCAGCGATTATTTCACTCTTGTTAACAAGAATGAAGAGTAGTAAAACGGATAAATACACGTTAAGCTTTGTGTATTTTGTATGCTTTTTCCTCGCAATAGAAAAGGAGGGTGTTAATCCAGACTATGTTATCCAGGCTTTTGATTCTATGCAACCAAAGTAATGAATCCTTTTTGTCTTCATTATGTTTTATGATATTATTTACGGATTTTAATAATTATAATTACTTCTCCAGATTATTTATTGAGGTCCTAAATGCATTTATTATTCCTGAAATGCAAAAAATTCAAGACTATACTGAAAAGAAGATCTGTGCAGTAGCTATGACGCGACTTTTAACTCAAAGTGAAAAAATATTAACTGATGATTATATCACAGTATGGTAATGATTTAACATTTTCTTTATAATTGTTCAAAAAATATATATATAATTTTCTTTTTTTCTCTATAAATATATATATATATATATATAGGCCCTCTATTTTAGCCGCATTGATTAAATTATTTGAAGCTCCAACTGAAATCAAAAAAAGTGAAGAAGAAGAATTGATAAGTTACGACTTTGAAGAAGAGAGACAATTTCAAAGTGCTTTTGCCAGGTTAACGTCCACGGGAAAATTAAAACGTGATCCAACTGAAAGAATCGAAGATCCCAAAATTTTCCTGGCCCATTCACTTCAGACATTGAGTCAGAGATATCCTGGGAAGGTAATAGCATTTTTATGACTTTTATTTTTTTTTTAAAAAAAGAAAATATATATACATATTTATATTATATTATTTGATTTGAAATAGATTAACGATATGATATCAACGAAACTTCCACCAGAATGTACTCATCATTTAGTTCAGTACATGAGTTTAGCCAATCCTTCGGGTTGTGTCTAATAGCAAATGGAAAAATAAATGTCATATTAGCAAAAAAAAAATCTAATCGTTCCTTCCATATAGGAGAATACTCATTGAAACTAAATGTTTAAAGTTAAATCTAAATATTTAACATAAATACAAATAACTAGAAAATGTATTCAAAGACGGTATATGCAGACTTCTATTTCATTGATCGCTATTTCATTGACTGCTAATTGCTAATGTATTTTATATATATATCTGATATATATATATCTCCGATATATATATACGTATATTATATATATATAAATTACATAAATAATAAATAAAATTGTACTTTGAAACATTTTTTATTATGTACAGTATATAATATTCGAATGCTAATAATCTAATATAATGGTAAAAATATAATTCTCACAATCACAAGGAAAATAAATTTTATTAATTTTTATTTATATTACGTGATAAACAAACTACATCAATAAGGATACATTTTTTTAAACCTAAAATAAATAATAATTATAATTATAATTATAATAATAATATATAATAATAATAATAATAATGTCGAATTATAAAAAAAACCGGTATTATTGTAAAAGAAAGCTGTGGGTTTATCTTTTCATCATCTATTAAGATCAATCAAAGTTTCACGATTAACTTTTTAATTTTGTAGCTATCAATCAAAAATCAGGTTTTTAACAAATTAAAGAGAAAAAGAGATATAATGAATTGAACACAACATTTACATACATTTAACTGATAGGAAAAAAGGTCGTGCAAATAACTGCAAACGCAAGACACTGAATAAAACTTTGAAGTTTTTTTATACATTGAATGAGTCATTAAAGTAAAAATTGAATTGTTTAATTATGAATAAATTATGTACAACATTTTTTTTTATTAAAACTGCTGTCGGATTGATTTTTCAAGTTGTACGATGCAAATACTTTATGGTGAACAAACCCTAATGAACGTTTCTCAAACCCGCCCACTTTGAGTAATTCCTAGAAGGGATGATTACATTAAAGGGCTTGTTAGATGAACCCTTAATTTCTTGTAAACATCTAAACTAAAACAAAAACCAATAAGTTTCCTTTTCTCCAGATTTTTTTTTTTTTTTTTTTTTTTTNAAAATAAAGAAAATGAAACAAATAAATTCAATTATTAAAATGAAATCTCGGAGAAATTTTTCATTCTTTGCAAATCTTAAATGAACCTTTTATTAAAAAAAAAAAAAAAAAGGAGAAAAAGAAAGAAAATAAATAAATTTAATGAATTTCAATTACTATTTTTATTTTATAATTAAAATGACTGATGATGTCAAGTAATAAAAAAATATAAAAAACTACTTATACAATCTGAAACGGGGAGATCAAAACTCTAGTTAACTGTAACCGATTGAGAACGTAATCTGATTATTCAAAAAGTTTGTAGATCTTTGGATCCTTTCTCTTATACACATCTAGATGTGTATAAGAGACAGGAATATAATCAAGCTTTAATTGTCATTCTTTTCTTTTTTTTTTTTTAAACCATAAATAAATAAATAAATAAGTAAATAAATAAATAAATAAATAAATGGATATATAAAATAATAGTTTTTTAAGGGATAACGATAAAATTATGCAATGATATTTTTTTTTTAAAAAAAAAACGAAAAGGGTCTTACGATAAAAATGTAAGACAAGGAATGAAATCCGGGGTAAACAAAAAGAATTTTGATCTACAATAAATTTTTTAATAAGCAAATATTTTCAAACACACATTGTGAACTTTTTTTTTCGATTACTCCTGATAATGATAATTGATTGAAACCATATAAAAAAAAGTTTTTCTATTAAAAAAAGATAACGAGTTTTGATAAGATATTTAATATTCTAAATTAAGTATAGTACAATAAATAAAAGCATATGATCTCATTACATGACCTTTTTTGTGGGGGTATAAAACAAAAAAAAAATAATCATATGGTAAAGCGGATAAACTGTTCAGGAAAAGTCAAAATGAAGTCCAGGTGGGGAAATTCTTGTCATATCTTGATTTGTAAATTTCACTGCCAAGGTAAATTGTTTTTTAAGAATTAAACAAGTGTAATATCAGGTAACGGAATAATTACCTGATTGACATTCATAGCAGCTGACTGAATATCTAAAAATAAAGAAAATGAAACAAATAAATTCAATTATTAAAATGAAATCTCGGAGAAATTTTTCATTCTTTGCAAATCTTAAATGAACCTTTTATTAATAAAAAAAAAAAAAAGGAGAAAAAGAAAGAAAATAAATAAATTTAATGAATTTCAATTACTATTTTTATTCAAAAAGTTTGTAGATCTTTGGATCCTTGTGTAAACATTTTTTTTTTTTTTTTTTTTTGCACTCACCGAGATGATTACTTATCTAATATATTTCATACTACATGACACAACGCTTTTAGTTTTATTATTTTCCAAATTTTTTTCACTCTCTATATGATGAATAATTGATTGAGAAAAAAGAAAAGAAAAGAATACAAGTATTTTAGTTCATTTTGTCGTTTTTGTTAGATTCTTGTGTGTCGGTTCACTTTTTTAACGAACGCCTTAAACACTGCCCCGTTACTAAATTATATGTTGTGCAATTTTGATTTACCCGCTTGTCAATAAAAAAAAACTATAAAACCGGTTTAAACCTGATTTCACTGATAACGATGACGGTACTTTTATTGATTTATTATATCGTTTGGGGTTAGAATTATTAATAAACGGTACAGTATCTGTATATTATCTGTATAAATCTGTACGGTATCGTCTATATAGAATTTCTAATTATTACAAATTATTAAGATTAGTCAAAAATGGGTTTGTATCTTTTGTATCACAATTTCACCGACTTGGAATCCCTTGAACCGTAGTAGTCCCCCCCCCCCTTAATCTTATTCCTTTTTTAATAAAGTTCCTTTTTTTTTACTTTTTCATTTCTTTGACAAAAATAAAAAACAATTTATTTTTATTTTTTTCATTTTGTAAAAAAGTAAAAAAAAATTTTTTCAACGTTTAAAACTTCTATTCATTTTTTTTTTTTGACATGAAATGTCAAAAATTAATGAGATACCGTTTGACGAAAAAAATTGATCACCAAGAAATTTATAAAAAAAGAGGGATTTAAAATTCATGTGGTTTTACCTTAAATGCGGCGACTCATGTTAATTTATTAATCTGCTTGCATTCGTGAAACTTGTCTTATTCCGCTTTTGTGTGTCATATGAAGTAAATATTGCCGTTTTAGAAGGTATGACGTACATGAATTCTTTCTATTTTTGGATCATCACCTCAGATCGTGTGACTACCTGCCCAAAATAAAGGGAGGCTACGGGTCCTTCATCTGCATCACTTAAAGCTGTCGAGTTTTTATTGGTGAATTCAAACATCCCCAAATTTAAACATCATATTATCCCCCAAAAACTTGTTTAAACCCCCTAAATTCTATTATAAACCGTGCCACTTCTCGAGTTTTTTCCCCCCCTTTAAAAAGAAATTAAAAAACCGGGTGGACAATAACGCACTGCACAGTAAAACAAATCCACATTTTTATACCGCTTGAAAGTACAGTAAACAGATAGACAGAAAAACTTCGAAACTCTTTTATTTCTTTTAGCCGAATCAACAAATGGCTTATAACAGTCAAGATACTTCTAACTCGTACTCGCAATACAATAATATCAGTATGCCTATTCAACCTCAACAAGGTCAACCGAAAGAAAAAATACAACAGGTTGGTATTTTTAAAGATGAGCGATAAAATTTAAAAGTTTTAAGAACGAATAAGCAAAAATTATATTTTAAAAATTTATTTCGAATATATTCAAACGTAAAGTCGCGAAAAAAAAATTTCTAAAAAAATTTATATTTTTTTTTAAATTTACGTGTCAAATATACATATATAATATGTTTTTGTTTCTCTAACTTAGTTAAAACGTGTTCGTTTGAAACCATGATAAATATAGAATTTTTAATCTATTTATAGCAAATCATTTCGGTTTAATAATGATCAATATTTTTTTTTTTTTTTTTTTTTCCTTATCTACTACTAGTCATCCTTGGAATTAGAGAAGAGACAGAAAAAAATCGCACAAAATGCACATAAACGAAAGCCATTAACAATTGAATCAGAGCGTGATAAACAAAAAGCAGAACTAGAAAAGTCAGGAGTAAGTATTATAATATTATTATCTTTGATTCAAATATCATATTCATTAAATAAATGAAGTTTATATTAATTAATATATTGATTTATTATATATTAGAATGAATTGAAAAGTCTTTTAGCACAATTCGGAACAAAAGCAAAAGTCGCTGATGATATAGAAAGTGATGCTAAAAGATTACGTAGCAACATTGAAGCATTAATGGCAAAAGCGCAAGCCAAAGTCAACAAGGTTTGTCACTTATATTTAATTTATTTAATTATAACGATTTTATCCTTTATGAAAATTTTAAATGATCTAACAAATATTAAATTTATTACTATAATATAACTAGCCTATACAAGTAACACCACCACCACCACAACTATCACAGGTACCGCAGCAACCACAACCACAACCACAATCACAATCACCGGCGATGGAACAACAAGAAGGATTATTTACTTCAATATGGAATAGCCTTTTACATATAATCTTATTTCCTTTTAATCTTATAATAAACTTATTACAATTATTATACAATTCAATTAATTGGACGGTATTATTATCCTGTATATTATTAATAGAATTAATAATAATTGGTTTAATTTGGTCGTAAGTTTCATCATCAATTTATTTCTTTTGAAAAGTTTTGTCTTTTTCTTTTCATATATTAACAAAAATCATTCTTTCATTTAATTACCTGTAGTGTCAGACGAAGTCAATATACATATGCGTACGTTGAACCGTACGAGGCAGTTGTACATGGAACTTTTGGAGTTGAACAAAACACATGGGGAATATCGACGGCTGTAAATTTAATACATGATTTTATAGCAGAAGTGATGAATGGAGGTCGCGGGTTCGGCAGTCCAAGTTATGACGGTTTCGTGCCAATATAGTGTTAAATAATAAATACTTAATAATATATATAAAAATAATGAATGGGGTTGACCTCCTTCATCATATACATATTAATATACAAGTATATACATACACATTATAATGGGACAATCCTTGTTAATTTTAATATATTTTTTAGAAAATAATTAATTTTTTCCTCCTACCACCCCTTCCCCCCTTTCACTTGTACATATTGCTCTTTTTTGGTTCACTTGTTTAAAAATTTTTTTTTTCCTTATTTGTATTTTTTTTGTTTAGACTGTTTTATTATAATTTTTCTTTACCCTTAATTTTCCTTGCACTTGCACAAATAGTTTATAACGTACATATAATGCATTATACATTTCACAAAATTACCTTAATTTTCATACTCCCTTCCCTAGAAAAATAATTTCATTCCCAACAAAAAAAAAAGAAAAAAAAAAACTTTGATTAGTTTTTTTTTTTTCACGTATCTGCTCTTCAATAAATTTCAAAAGTGTAAAAGTGTTCTATGAATTTTACACCTCAAGAAAAAAAAAAAATTTCTTGTATATATATATAGAAATTTACCTTTCGAATCTTTTGAATTCTTATTATTTTTATGTTCTCAATACTAATTTTTAATTTTCCAGTTTTCCAACTTATATGTGGCGCAGTAAACTCGCGTGGTGAGTGTTTGTTTTTAAAAGGAAAAAAAAAATACTTTTTTTTTTTTTTGATTTTATCATCATTATTATTTATACGTGTAAAAATGGTTTGTATATTATTAGTAATAGCTCAAATTCGCGTATAAATCGCACACTTCACACGCTTTTGGGGGATTTGGTTTAAAAAACCGGGAATTATGAAAAAACACATACATTATATGTATTGTCCACAACAACGCGAAAAAAATTTACTTCTCCCTAAATTTCTAGCCCATACCCAGAAGTTCATGGTATTTGGGATTATATTAGGGAGTAAATTATAAAGACATAGTTCCAGTACACCTTCAATATTTAAATGTTAATTTGAGGGTCACTCTTATTCGTACATTTCTTCTGTGCTTCTGAGGATTTATTATTAAAGGTAAGAAAGATACTTTTTAAAATGTAAATTTCAAATGAATATAATTTAGATGTATAATATTTGTAATATTTGTAAAAAAAAAAGCAATGAATAAAAAACTTTTTAAACAGAAAAAAATATTTAAAATTTCACGAAATATTTTCTTAAATGACCGTTATAATGACAAAAAAAAAAACCCGATAAATACGCGCTTTTAATTAAATTTAACAAAAAAAGAATTTTAATTAACCGAAATAAATTATTTGTTTATATAAAAAAAATTTGGCGAAGTTTTTTTAATTAGAAAAAAAAAAGATCGGTGCCGTGTAATCCTCGTGTTAAAGTGCATTGTTTGTTTTTTTTAACTACTGAAATCTAGTCAGTTTTTATTGTTTTTTTTTACATTTTATAAATGGGCGGTATCAAAAGTGGTGACGTTTTTACCGATTTATCACTGATAATTATGACAGATAATTTGTTACAGATAGTCATCGGATAGATCTATGAAACAAAAAATAGTCCGATTTGGTAATATGTAATTTATTTTCCACGTGTTCTTATTATTAACAAAAAAACAAACGGTAACGGTGTGATTTCCCACGGAGGCTATAATCGATATTACGGAAATTAAATGTTAAAATATCAGTCGACCGTTTCAAGTGATAATTATGAATTGTCTGATGATATGCAGATAACATTTTTGAAATCCTCCGAAATTCCGACTTTATCAGAATTAACTCTTTACAAGTTATAACAGGTTAAAATGGAATAAAACATAAATATCAATTTGGTAAAGAAAACGTTTATGGAAATAATTATTAGATTATTAGTTACATGTTGGACAAAATAATTAATTTCGTAATTTTGAATAACAAATTTATTAAAAAAAAAAAATATTTTTTTTTTTTTTTTTTTTTTATATACAGATATATAAATTACATATACATTAAAATTAATAATAATCTATTTTAATAGTTCATCTAAAACTTTTGGATTTGTTTGAAGATTATGCCTTATTTTTACCATATCAATTAGAAATTTATTGATAGGAGTAGGAATATCGTAAAATTTTCCTAATTTCACAATATAACCATTTAAATAATCAATATCAGTCAGAAAATTTTTTTTAACATCTTGTAACATAACAGATTCATAATGGCGAGTTTTAATACAAATTTGAAATACAGCATCGATTAATCTTTCAGGTGCAAATCTATTTGATGGTTTCATCCCAAGGTATTCTCTATGTTTTCTTATAACAATTGAAGTTTCTTCACAAATTGGTCTCATAGTTTGTTCGGCTACTTTATTAAATAATAACGCACCATTACGTATGGAATAAATTGATGTAAGTGGATCAATTACAGCATTCAATGCAAGATTTTCAAGTTTACGATTAATTAAATTCACGTATTTAACACATCTTGCATTAAGCTCTGGAATTCTTGAAAACGATCTTATTACTGATTTTAAAGTATCTACTTCTATCTCTGATCCTTTATTATCATCATCATCTGCTTCCGTTGCTGCTGTAATTGTTTTCGATTCTTCAGTTTTATTATCCATTTTCTCATTTGGTAATGATATTTCGTCCAAATCTTCATTATTATCTTCCAAAGACTGTGAATTAATATTTAATTCTTTTTCTTTAATTTCGTCAAAACGTCTAGGAACAATCCCAAGATCAATTTCACCAAAACCCGAATGTATCAATTTAAATTGGGAACCAAATTTGGCTTTTTTATAAGCATGATGAGAATTTAAAGCAATTATAATATTTGGTCTACTAGCTTCATCAAAAGAATAATAATCTCTCATTAATTCTTCATAACTTCCCAGTCCATAAGTGAATAATACAATTGTACTCGTTGGCGATAATCGATGAAAAATTCTTTGATAATATTTACTAAATTCATGAGATTTAAGTGTAACTATAAGTTTGCTTATACGTAAATGTGGTGGGCATAGTTCGTTTGGATATTGAGGATCAATTACATTTCCATAATCACCCTGTAAACATTCTGCTTGATATCCTTTTGTTACTTCAACTTCTGGTTCAAATTCTTTTGTAACTTCGATCGTACGATTAAGTTTATTGAACATATTAAGTGTTGTTGGATCTCTTATTAACAAAGTAACTTTGTTTCCATTCTTTCTAAGAAAATGTGCGAAAAGAGAACCATAATTTCCGACTCCAAGTACATGCCAACGTGCCACCATTTCATTGAAATTACAGAAAGTTAAAAAAAAAAATTTTTTTTCTGATTTGATATCACATGAAATCGCGTGTTCACGTGTTGTTGATCACTCGTGATTGCTTATCAATGAAAATCCTATGATAAGATTTACACCTTTCTCTCATGTATTTATCTGCAACTAAGAAATTTATCTTGGCAGACACTTGCATCGTTGGCTAAAGCAATGAAAAATTACTGCTAAAACGTGGTACTCACCTTTACAACATTTCTTGCATTTTTCCAGAGTTTCCCAAAATGAAATGCTGATAACACCACCACCGCCGCCACCAAAATATTTAAAAATATACACCAAAATTACTTGCAGAACTGATTACTAAATGTTGGGATGCTAAAGCCCAACTGCTAAAGAATTATATCAAAAACTTGAAAAATTATGCACAGCAAAAAGAAGACCTTGAACGACAGAAACAACTCCTCAGCTCTCAATTTCCAACCTACAAACTTGTTAGAAACAGCTATTCCAGGGTGAAAGAAAATTCATGAGAGCTGTAATTGAACACTAAATGTTGCACTAATCATTTAACTGTTGAACATTCAGAATCTTATTTTTTTCAACAACTATTACTTAGAATACCTGTCCAAAGTGAAACTGATTTAAAGAAACATTATTTAACATATAAAGCTCAATTTGAAGCTGAATTTCCTGAAGAGTTTTCTTTAACTTTAAATTATATACATGACTTAACACAATGTACTGATATAATTGGATAAGCAATAGATGAAGCAGTAACTGAGATTATTAAATGAAATACTAAATGTGTGCAAGATGAATCTATTGATTCTCTATCATTTGAACTTACAAAGATCTATGACAAACTATAGCTCAAAATTTTCATCTTCAATATGAGACCATTTCTACATCACCTATCTGCATCACTCCGTCAATGATAAAACGAAAAAATAAGAAAGATTATTCAAAAGACAGTCAAAAAAATGCTTAGCCAGGCACATTAATGATTTTGCCAATATCTAATAGCCAAAGCAGAAGAATTAGGAGTTCATATCTGATATTATTATCCAAAACAAAGCCTATATAGGCTATACCTCTAAAACTTAGCTGGTGTGTAAAAATTCAAAAAATTGGAAGGTCTGAAGTGTATAATTGCCAAAATTGTTTCTCTGAACATTACTTGTGAAGTCTTGATTCTCTTCAGAGATCATGCAGGAAATAGTAGTTTACTTAGCATTACATATTATTGATGTATTACAATCCATCCGCGCATCAAAATAAATTTTTAGAAGTGATTACCAAAGTAAATCATATTCCTTTTATCATCAAAATCATGTGTTCCAATAATCATATTCATTTCTTAAGAGTTCGCAGCCTTATACTAACTGCTGAAAATTCATTCACTAATTGCAAATTTGAATAAACTAATTATGGCAATAATCAACAACTTTAAATAATACCTGACGATATATTGGAGTGGAATAGTGACACGTTTCATTTACTAAAGATAATTTGAACAAATTCTACCTTAACTCCTTAAAAGTTATAAATTCTTAATTTGGATTTAATATGTTCAATTTTTATTTCTTCTTTTATTTTTCTGATTTTCTTTTACCGTATTTTTGCTGGCAAAATACGGTAAATAATTGAACTAATACGATTATTATTTTCTAGGAATGATTTAAATCATTTAATAATGAACAAACAATCAGAAATTGAACTTGATAGCTTTATTCAAGATTTACTATAAGGAATATTAGTACATGATAATGTAATAAAATTAATTTAATAATGAAAACTAATAATAAATTTCAGGCATATTTTAGTTTTGGGTTGGAATTCAAAAATCAAAGCATTTCTAAAACTGAGTTTTACGGAAGTTTTAATTTTATTACTCATATTTAGACCATTAGAAATAGTTTCAAATTGAAATATGATTCTTTACATCATTTTTTTTTATACAGAAAGAAAAGAATCTTTGGATATATAACATTTAAATATTAATTTTTTCTTCTTCCAGTATTTTAAGAGAATACAAAAGCATAAGAAAACTGGAACAAATAATGGTTTACTGAATTTGAGCTAGATTTATTTTATCTATGAAAACAAATGAAAATAAATTGATAAGCTATATTAATAATGATTCAAAATGTGCTTTAAAAGGTAGTTTAAAAGGAGACTTATAAGAAAATTTAAAAGATAGTTCAGAAAATAGTTCAAAAGATAACTTTAAAAAAGGATTAATAGAAGGTTTGAAAAATATTTTAAGAAAAAGAATATTTATATTCTGATTCAATAGCTAACAAAAAATTTATTGCAAAATTATTATTAAATAATAATATCAAAAAATCTAAAATTTTAAAATACAGCAAAAAAAAAACATTTATCATATATATATTTTTATTATAATTGTTAAAATCCTTCATATATCCATATCCTTCATATTATTTGAAGAAAAAAGAAAAGTAGAATTTTTAATTTTTAAAGCTAAAAATTAGTTTATATATTATATAAATTAAAGTAAATTCATTAAAAATAAATTTTACTATATATGAAATATTGGAAATTTTTAAAAAATTTAATATATCAAGATGAAATTTTAATAGAGTTTCTAATGGATCAGTTCAGGTTGAGTTAAATTAATTACTTAACCTGAAGTATCAGGTTCAGATTAAGTTTTAAGTTATATAAAAAAAAATTAAAAATTCAGTTTTTTTTCAATTTTTTCAATAATTAGTAATCAGAAATTTATAAAATATAATTCATTAAATTTATTTCACCAAAACAAATCTAATGGTAATTAAATCATTAAAATTAGTATGATATTAAAGAATTTAATAGAATTCCAGATATCTACAATACATATAACCTAATCTTAACAATTAAATTTGATGAAATTTAAATCACTACTATTCATTAAAAAAAAAAGATAAACATAAAGTATAAACGTACAATGATAAATCAGATTGAGCTTAATAAAACTATATTTTTAAATTTCTCGTAAAGTATTTTTTAATAAAGTAATAGCAATTTAAAGTTGAAATATTTTACTATTAAATTAAATATTTGGCCATTTTATTCTGACCAAAATTACATGTAAATCTGATTAAAATTACTTTCATTTAATTATTAACTATGTAAATCTGGCTAGAATTAAAATTATAACTTAAATTAAATAAATCTAATCAATAAAATTACAGGTTAAGTATTACATAATGTAAAAAATTTAGCCGCTTAAAAATTTTTTTTGTTAGAACTAGGTTGTATATATTGTAATATAAAACTTATACTGTGATACTAATAATTTGAGCAAATTGATCTCTTTTTAAAAATTAATATTAAACTTTACAAAATAAAAAAAAGGTAATCCAAATCTGAATACTAGATTTTGAAATAATTGCAAAAAATTATTCATATTATCCAAATTATATATTTTGGGCTGCCATAATTATAAGTAAAATTCCAAATTCAATTATGGCATTTCAAATTATAATTATAGCATTTCAAAATAATTTGGGCAACATGTATACAAAAATGAAAAATAAAAAAAAAGCAAATTGGTAAAAAGTCAGTTATGAACTCTATACTAGATGTTTGAAATTCTGATTTAATATATATTTTGCATTCATATAATTATACTTTAAAATTTTAATAATAAAATTAAATATGACAGTAATTAAAAATGTTTATTAGATTCATTTTAATGAAATGAATTTAATGGTAGTTATTTATTTTATTTTAAATAAATTAATATAACAAAATATTAAAGTTTCTTTCCAAAAGAAAAATATAGGGAACTCAAGACTATTGTTAAATCAAAAAGAATAGCATTAACTATTGCAGCCCTTTTTTTAGAAATATTTGTTAATGAATTTTACAACATTATTTGGCAACCACGTTGTAAGGCAGTAGCAGAATGGGAACATACTAAAGGCATAAAAAAGCAAGACCTAAGAAAAAGGCCATCAGCACATCAACACATTGTATACAAATGGATTCCAACTTTACAGACAGAAGAGGGTACATATGATTTGGAAAGAAGGAAAATTTTGAAACATAATGAACAGTGGTCAATAGCATTAGAAAAAACAAAACAATACATAAATCAATTTATTAAAGAAGGAAATAGGGTTCTTTGGAAGGTATATAATAACACAAAATTGTACAAATATAACATAACCTCTTTTTTTTTCTTCTTTTAGAGGGTAGTGAAAGCATTTACTTAAGCCTTACAATATAATGATTTTATATAATTCAATAGCTACTATTGAAGGATATAGATGAATTTTATAGGGTGATGGTAGGGCACGGAAGCAATCTTAAGGATGGGGAACTGGTTTGGAGTTTTAATAAATTAGTTATATAACAGATGCTTTTGTATCATTACATATAATTAATAAACTTACAAATTGCACTACCTTGGGAAAAAAAAAAATATAACAAAATATTTAATTTTAAATTTTTAAATAAAAATTTCAGATTAGATCATCAGATTAAGCAAGCTGATCTATTCAGAACTCTAAACTCAAATTTACTATTAAATTACCAAAATTTAGTATTTTAGTAAAAATTTATATAAATTAAGATAAATTTACTTTTAGTAAATTAATTTTAAATTAATCCCTGGTGAATATAAAATTAATTTATATTATATTCTAATTTTTAATTTGTATTATTAAAATTAATTATTAATAATTTGTATTATTTTAGTAATTAAAATAAATTTTTACCAATTTAATATAAAATTTACTATATTAACTAAAATTTATAAATATAAATTAAGCCAAAAGTTATTTTTTTATTCTATTTATTAGAGTATAAATTTTATTAACAATTATTTTACTTATTATTAAATTTAGAAAACTTAAATTTAAGCAAAATTTTTAATATTAATTAATTTTTATATTTATTAATTTTCAATCAAAACTATTATATGAATATAACAAGTTTTTTTTCTATTTCATATATCAGTTTTTACATGCATACTTTATTAAAATTGTAAAATCCTTTTTCACTGATATCTATTGTTATTTTAGTTTTAATACAAAACTGTTTATTTTATTTTGTAAAAAATAATATGTTTAGTATATAAAAATTAGTACATATATGTTTAGTAATAAATCACTATGTTTAGTAAGAATATGTGTCGTCTTATCTGCTTAAATTCATATGCATTATCCCAAAAAATAATCTGCGACCACTATTTCACTCCAACGTTTCTGTTCGAAAAAAATATATGAATAATTTACTTTTTCAAATTAATAACTGAAAATTAATTTGAATTTATTATTCGTAGCAAATTATAGAGAACTTAAAACAATTAATATTTTAATGGTAATTAATGTTGATAAATAGGTATACGTACAATTTCCACCACGAAGAGCCAATACTAAATGAAGAACTACACCGGATTTTATGCCGTAGTCCTTAACTGTCTTTTTATCATCTTTTAATTGTTTGCCAGAATAAATGATACACTGTTGAGCTGGTGGAATCCCTTCTTTTTCTTCTAAACGTTCTTTGATTTTTTCTACCGTATCTGAATTTTCAATGTCGAGTTCAAATTCTTTACCAGTAATAGTTACGATTTTAATAATAAACATTTTTGGTCAATTTATGGATGGCCTGAGAAGTATAGATTAAGAGGGCAGTTCGTTAGAATAGTATGAAAGTTTGTCAATTTATCTTTCAAAAAATAATATAAAAGATAGAGATTGAGATTTTTTTTAAGAAACTGTCTAATTAATGATTTTAATGTTAATAAGATTCTTCATTTTAGGTAATGTGAATGATTAATGCGGGCCTGTAATGTATATAGCCGAGGAGAATTTATCAATGCGTTATGATATTACACGTAAAGTCGCAACCTATATGAGCTTTTCTATATATTAAGGTATATCTGAATTCAAGAGTAATGTGTGTTACGCCTACTGCGCCTTGATTTTATGATACAAAATTTTATTTAAAATAAGCTATGATGTGAATTACTATATTAATATACACTTATTATAAGTGAGAGGTTAGAATGAAAGGCGATCAATAACTTAATAACTAATGTTTATATTGAATAATCTGTCCACCTTCCCAACTTTCTTCAGATTTCAAAGTTATATATTCTGCAACATGACCAGGTTCAACACAAACCATTTGTTTATATTCATCATCATCAAAATCTGACATACCTTTTGCCTTATCAATCCATGGATTCCATACAACTGAAAAAATGTGTTTTCGTTAATAAAATAATTTTTTTTTTTGATAATTTTTTTTAAAAAAAAAAAAATTTATAACATACCCGAATCCTTTAAATTAATTCTTTGTAAGAGGAAAGCCTCATTAGATTCGTCACTTATATTTATTTTGATTATTTCAGTTGGAACATTTCCATAAATTCTATCTGTCTCTTGGGTAAATTTTACAGATTTATCATTATCGACGACCGTTATAAAATTTTTCACTTTATCAATGTATGAGATATTCTGCAATCCTTCAACTGATACTTTAGAAATATCCTATTGTAAGTAAATTAAATTAATATATTTAATATTCAAATACAAATTTACGAATAAATAATAACTTACTGGAACAGAATAATAAGTATGCAAAAGGACGTTAAAATCAAACGGTGCAGTATCTTCATTCTTTACTGACAAGTTAGTTTTTAATGTATCATCGTTAAGAGTTACAGTGAAAATTAGTTTAAACTTTTTGGGCCAATCTTTTTGTAGATTTTCGGGAACCTGAGAATTATTTAATCCTTTAAAAAAAAATTATGAAAGTAAGCAAGAATGGACCATGCAAAATAAATGTATTATTATTTCTTACCAAATCTGACAGAAACTTCAGATTCATTATCAACTGAAACCCCATTCCATTCAAATTTTGAGATACGAGCCAAACCATGTTGTGGAAGTGCAGCAGTTTCAGCAGATGAATCAGTTGCTTTAGCAAATTGAGGGAAAACTATGACAATATTTGGGTTAATCAAAGAAAAATAGAACGAATTTTCTCTAGTATATTGAATAAATTTAATTACTTATGGGAATTCCCCCACGAATTCCTTTAGTTCCATCAAGAAGAGATTTCTTACTAATAAACAAAATTGAATTAAGACAATAGCTAATAATTCATTTAATTCATTAGAAATATCTTCCAACAAGTATTGAGTTTTACCTCAAAAATAAAAGCTCTTTTCCGCGATATTTCCAACTGGTAACAGTTGCACCAAAATAATATACTAAAGTACAAAAAAGAACGTTAGGTGTTTTGCGGTATTAAACAAGCAAACAACGAATGTTGACTTATGTGTACCTTCTGCGGAGGAGCCTTTGGAGTCTTTCAAAATAACTTTGTCTTCTAGAACTTCGACTGGCATATTTGAAATATTTGAAAATATCCGCAAGACAATCGATAATAGTAAAAATAATTAATCAGCGCGTAAATAGGCCTGGAATTCAAACCGAGGAGAATATAAATAGGAATTTTTTCTAAATATTAATCAAGATAGGGGTGGGAAGCTTTAGCTTTTTTTTATATAAGGGTGACGTTAAACAGAATTTTAAATTGTAATAGCTTTAACTAAATTAAGGTTATAGCAGGGTAGCAATTCATGAATCGAAGGGAAGGATAATCTGTTAAGCCAGTTAAGCCTAAGCCGTTAAGGACCCTGATAATGAGAAAAAAAAACGGATTTCCTTTTCGTCTTCATGATAGCGTTAAACTTAACTCCGTGCGTACGTTAATATCGTACACATGATGCGTAAGTTAAAGGATGCTCTTCATGGATACTGTACTATCGTTAACGTATGAAATAATTTGTATACTGCCGTATGTTGGAATTTTCGAAAGTAAATATGAAGAATAATGCTATCTACAATTGTGATGGCCATTCCGAATAGGTGTCAGATTATATTTGCGTTTTTGTATTAATAAAGATATAAAAGAGAATAACTATTTACTAGTACATGATAATTATAGCTTGATTCATGGACATGTCCTCTCCCACAAAGATTACACCAAAATTTTTTCTTCAGAATTAATTCAACACTTCTTTATTATCTTTAATAAAAGCTTGAAGCTTTTGCATCCTACAGAAGTAAGAATTATTATATAAGTAATACCCTGAAAAAAGTGCTTCAATAGTTAGATCTACAGGTAAATACAACTTTTTCTTTTTATGATCTTTCAACAATCAAGACAGCAGGTATCATCATACAGGTGTTTTAGTATCTAATATATAGGCCATAATGAACTTTTGGCCAAATTTACTCTTTTTTATTAAAACTCAAAATCATTTTTTGCAAATATTTCAAATATATAATTAGATTTGTATTAATCCTATTTGTATATATATCTGAACAAATCCCTTTATAAAATCTTTCTTTTTAACCAAAAATCCTACTGGTTTGAATAATATTTTATTGTATATTTAGTGATTTAATTTTGATAACCTTTTTTTAAGCACATAGTGGAAGTGTCAAGGGATCAAGCAGGGTGAGTTCATCATCTCGCTTATCAATCTCTAAATCTGAGTGAACATTGGATATTGCAGATTTATTTGAGACCTCCCCTCCAGCATCAAGACCGGTAATACCATCCGTAGAAGCATTTGCCATTTCTAGGCCTATCACTCCTATACTCCCTTTTTCTCACAAAGTGCGAAGGTTATCAATGTCACTATCAATAACAATTACTCTGATGCTTCAGAAGTTAAGCAGGATTAGAATTTTTCTTTAATGTACTTAACAGTAGAATGATGTTTTAGCAAATTTTAGTATTTTTTTACGACTGCAAGTGTGTATATTAAAGGCGCAATAGATTACAAAACAAATGTATTATTATTCATTAATGACACTTGTATAATAAAGAATAAATTACAAGTCTCTGGGACTTTGCCAAATGCACCATTAGCACAGTTTTATTTATTCAATGAGCAGATCAGACAACATATACATGTGTTAAAAAATGAAAGCCCTATTGGGTGAAACTTTATTAATTACAAAGCGATCATGCAAAGCGCAGGAATTTGGGAAAATGATTACGAATAAAATGCACATGCAAAAATGTATTATTTTTCTGATGGTAGAATTTGGATACAATGTCCAAACTCATCAAAAATGCGCAGAAGCTGAATCAGCATCTGGTTAAATTTATTTCCCAAAATAACTGGCACTTCATAAGTCATTGTATATATGACTATTTGATGGTAGAGTCTGGAGTCTGGACATGATGTTCAGGCTTAGCAAATCATTTTTCATGATGTTTTGGCAATCATATACATTTAAAAAATAAAGCCCCAATATGAAAATACATGTGAACAAAATTCTGTTTTTTCTGGTAGTAGAGTCTGAACACTGTATCCAAGCTCGACTTAATTGCACAGAAGAAATGGCACAGTATATTAACAATCCTTTCGTTTTAAGATTTCAGCTATTATATAATCCTTTTCATTCTTAATTAGATTTAAGATGAAATCTGAAGAAGTAGATTTTATCTGTGCTATTTTTTCTTTGCCTATACTATTAAAAAGCTTATAAACCTTTTCGAATCTCTTCATCCTTTTTCACAAAACTTTATCAGAACATTTTGCTTTAGAAATTGCTTTTTTGACCTTACTTTTAACTAATGCTTGAGATCCATCCTTACCATGCTTGAGTTTTAATTTCTTGTATTGTTTAAATACAGCCTTTCCAAAATCAAAATAGCTGTAAATAAGACCTTGAAATGCATCTTCATTTTTAGATTCAGCGCTATCAATCTTATCATATAGTTGCAAAAAATCGCTGGTTTTGTTTTCACTTGCTTCTTCTTCCAAGTTCTCTTCAGTTACATTTGATACCACATCAGTTAAAAATTTTTTGATAAGTTTTTTTAGCATACTCGATACTTTCTTTCTACCAGTCTTTTCACTTTCTTGCTAGACGATTTTTCAGTAGATGTGGATGATTCTCTAGTACGTTTTTTCTGTGCATCATTTGGATTGATGTTAGCAAAGCTAATTAATTCTGATATCGTTTCAGACGAACACTGGTCAAAATAAAAACTTTCGGTCATGTGACAAATCAGCTGATCTGTCACACATTTTGGCCAAATTTCAGAAATTATTAAAAATTGGCCAAATTTTGACATATATGATTTATAGTCGATTTATTGAATTATTTAATCAAACGTTACATGTTACGCATTATACTATTAAAAGTTTAAAAAAGGATCATCCTTTTTTAAACTTTTTTTAATTTTTTTCTTCCCTTTCCTTTCTTTTCCTTTGTTCCCCTTCCCTGTTTCCCCTTCTTCCCCTTTCCCTTCCTTCATTCTCCTTTCCCTTTCTTCCCTTTTTCTTCCTTCCCCTTCCCCCTTTCACTTTTTTTACTTTTTTTTTATTGTTTCGCTTTCATGTGGGCTTCCGAATAACCGTTTTTTTCTTTATTTTTTTAGGTTCGGGTGGGCTTTCGAAGAACGAAACTCCAAAGGTAAAGATTTGTAAGTACGAATCTTTACTTTATAATTTTTTTTTTAATTTTATTAATAAACAGTTACTAATAACCGTTCTTTTCTTTTTTTATAGGTTCGGGTGGACTTCTGAAGAACGGAAAAAGGAGAACCTTTAAGATTCGTAAGTAATATACTTACGAATCTTTTTTTTTAATGTTATGGAATGGTTACTAACCGTTCCTTTGATTTTTTTTTTATAGGTTCAGGTGGATTTCTGTCTTTCCAAGGAACGGAAAAAANGTTTTTTTCTTTATTTTTTAGGTTCGGGTGGGCTTCCGAAGAACGAAAACCCAAAGGTAAAGATTCGTAAGTACGAATCTTTACTTTATAATTTTTTTTTTGTTTTTTCTTTATTACGAATGGTTACTAATAACCGTTTTTTTCTTTATTTTTTTAGATTCAGGTGGGCTTCCGAAGAATGAAAACCCAAAGGTAAAGATTCATAAGTACGAATCTTTACTTTATAATTTTTTTTTTAATTTTATTAATAAACGGTTACTAATAACCGTTCTTTTCTTTTTTTATAGGTTCGGGTGAACTTCTGAAGAACGGAAGAAGGAGAACCTTTAAGATTCGTAAGTAATATACTTACGAATCTTTTTTTTAATGTTATAGAACGGTTACTAACCGTTCCTTTGATTTTTTTTATAGGTTCGGGTGGATTTCCGTCTTTCCAAGGAACGGAAAAAACTAAAGATTCAATATGAATCTATTTTTTTATTTTTGTTTATTATTACGAACGGTTTCTAACCGTTCTTTTTCTTTTTTTTTAGGTCAGTGTCTTCTGAAGAATGGAAAAAACCAAGATTCGTAAGTATGAATCTTGGTTTTATTTTTATTTTTTTTTTATAATATTAACGAATAGTTACTGATAACCGTTCTTATTTTATTTTTTTAGTTCAGTGGGCTTCCGAAGAACAACAGAAAACCAAGATTCATAAGTAAGTACGAATCTTAGTTCTTTATTTTATTTTTTATTTTTATTTTTTATTACTACGAACAGTTTACTAATAACCGTTCTTTTCTTTTTGTAGGTTTCGGGATCTTTAGAAAAAGTGGAACCAAGATTCATAAGTACGAATCTTGGTTTATTTTTTATTTTTTTAATATTATTATGAACAGTTATTAATAACCGCTCTTTTTTTTTCTTTTTATAGGTTTAGTGTCTCGAGTGGATTCCGATAAACAGAAAAAACCAAAGATTCGTAAGTAGAATCTTGGGTTTTTTTGCTTTTTTTTAATATTATGGAACGGTTACTAACCGTTCTTTTCTTTTTTTTATAGTTTTGATGAGTTTCCAAAAGATCAAGATTCATAAGTATATACGAATACATGAATTATATAATTGTAGAATTGTAGATTAGCAATATTTATTTGTAATATGCATTTATAAATAAAGTTGTGATTTTATTGCAAATATCAAATAAAATGAGTTGTGGCAGAATATTAGTAAATAAATTTAGTACAAATTTGCAATATAAATTAAGTAACACTCGGAAAACTATTCACCAAAATTTGCTATCTGAAATTGTTCCGAATGTTAACTGAATTTTAGCCAAAATTTCAAGCCGAACTTTAGGCGAGTGGCAGCGAATTGCAGCCAAAAAATCTGCTAAAGTTTGACCAGCATTAGACCATAAATCAGCCTAAAATCGGCTGGCTGAATTTTGGCCGATTTGGACTATTTTGACCAGTGGAAGGACAGGTAGGACACATCTTGTGAGAATTCTTGATGTAATCGTAATGCACAATATGCTTGCAAGGTAAAAAAATGGTTGGTTTTGTAAATTCTAGGAAGATTTCTTCAGAGCATTTTTCACATATAGGATGTTGGATTTGACTGCTAGTATCCTTTAAAAGAGGCCCGTTAAAGCGAGGTAGAATCACGTGATTTAAAATTATTATGATTTGATAAATTTTTTATAAACTAAAATTAAAGTGAACTTGAAAATCATTAAATAAGTGTATTTCAGCTTGCTCCACAAGTTTACTTAAGGAGAAAAAGTGGATTTTGAACAATGTTTTTGACTTTACATATGAGCAAACGAATTTTGCTAATCATACTCAAAAAAGGATAGATCAATTTTAACGAAATTGAAAAAGTTGAATAAATCAAAAACGGTGTTCTAAACCTCATTTTATGCTCTAAGTAAACTTGCAGAACAGGTCAAAATGCATTTAATATATGTTTATTTGGAAGGTTTTATATATAATAAAAAGTTTTATTTAAAAAAAAGAAAAATTTCGAAAGTCACGTGATTCTACCTTACTTTAATGGTCCCCCTTTAAAATCAAGTCATCCAAATTGTCAGAATTGCCAGGTGTAGTGCTAATAACCTCAATAGGGCTGGTTATCTGGTCAAAAGTTTCTTTAGTGATCCCAGTAGTCTTGAACGAACTTTGTTTCTTTTTGCCTAATAATCCTAATTCGTTCATTAGTGTTATATCATCATCTACGGGAATTTAATTTCCTGAATTCACTGACTTGAAGATAGTATTTTCATCAGTAGTTGAAGGTTTGTCTTATAATCAGAGTTCTGGAGAAAGAAAAGTTTCAATAACTTTGTTACACTTCTTATTCAGACAAATTGCCTCTCCATTTACCAAATGCTTTTCGAGACATTTCTGATTTCACACAAAGCTAAAGTAAATTCTTTAAATGGTAAGAATTTCTGAGGTAAGTAAAGACCTTCTCTACATAACAAACATGGGTCTACTTCTGAAAAAACAGTATTTTCAGGAAGAATATTTGTACTTTTGAAAATATTAATTGCAAAAGCTTTGATAGGATTTGTATACATGTTGCCCGCTTTTGATTACTAACCAGAGAATAAGCGATCAAAAAAGGTCTGTCTTTCATATCACTTGTAAATTTCGCAGGAGAAGATATTCCCTTTGGGATTAATTTTTACCAGCAATTACGCATTGCATTTCGTCATTTTGTTAATCCTCCTGCAAATCGATAAAAATGATTTCATAATTAGCATACACATTCCCAAATCCTTTCATGTATATGAAAGTTGCTGAAGCTAAAAATGGTGTCACAAATAAGTAATTGTGGAATATTTGCGATATGTGGTATTGCAAAATATTGCAGATTTTGAAGTCTATATATCCACAATTCCGCAATCCGTAATTAGACGCAATTCTGCAATTTTTTGCAATTTTGCAAATGATCTGCAATTTCATAATTAATTGCGGAATTGCAGATCATTTGCAGAATTGCAGATTACCTGCAAAAAAAAGAATAATTTTTTTTAATAAATGTAATTTTTTTAATTAATTAATAAAAAAACTGATTTCTTCTTATTACTAAAAGTAAAAAAAATTCAGTTTTTCATTAATAAAATTTTTTAAAATAAATCATTTATTTTTTAGAAAAAATATACTGGCCGGTTAATTCGATGGTTGTTAATATTAATAGTTAATGATCTGGATTAGATTATCGGATAGCATAGTACAAATCACATAAGAATTGCATTACGCAATTTTAAATTTTTTTTTTCATTTTAAAAAAAACAATACTGTTTTTTTTTGTAAATTCTGGCCTAGAACTTGGAAATGAAGACCGGTGAGTATTTTAAGGGGAGGAAGTGGAGGGGTTTTTTTTTTTTGTTTTTTTTTATGTAAGAACGTTTATTAACGTTTTTTTACTTCTTTTTTTTGTAGATTTCAGCCTGGAACTTGGAAATGGAGACCGGTGAGTATTTTAAAGAAAGGGGAAGCAGTTTTTTGGTTTTTTTTTTATGTAAGAACATTTATTAACATTCTTTTACTTCTTTTTTTGTAGATTTTGGCCTGGAACTTGAAACTTGAGACCAGTAAGTATTTTAAAGGGGGGAATGGGTTTTTTTTAGTTTTTTTATGTAAAAATATTTATTAACGTTCTTTTACTTCTTTTTTTTGTAGATTTCAGCCTGGAGCTTGAAAATGGAGACCGGTGAGTATTTTAAAGAAGGGAGTGGGTTTTTTTATTTTTTTATATAAGAATATTTATTAACGTTCTTTTACTTCTTTTTTTGTAGATTCTGGCCTGGAACTTGAAAATAGAGACTGGTAGGTGTTTCTAAAGAGGAAAGCAGGGGTTTTTTATGTAAGAACATTTATTAATGTTCTTTTACTTCTTTTTTTTTGTAGATTTTGGCCTGGAACTTAGAAATGAAGACCGGTGAATATTTTAAAAGAGAAAGTAGGTTTTTTATTTTTTTATGTAAAAACGTTTATTAACGTTCTTTTACTTCTTTTTTTTTTGTAGATTCTGGCCTGGAACTTGGAAATGAAAACCGGTGAGTATTTTAAAGAG